GATCTTTCCGGGTTCCTTGACCACAAGATCGTCGATATAGAACAGGAATATCGTATACAAGGCAATGAACGTCTTGACCTCGATTGCGGCCTCTTTGTAGTGTTTCTGAACTCCGCTGGCACAGGTGGGGAGGAGCTTGAGGAGGTGAGCCGTGCGCTTGTCGTCCAGGTTCCACGACAGGATTCGAGTTCGGGCTATGCTGTCGAGTTCGTGAGGATACGGGTCCTCCTGCTGTTGCACATCAAAGCCGATGTTTTGGAAGAACTCTCGTAAAATCTTTGCTGTCTCGGCCTTCTCATCTGTTTGGCTCGCGATACACGAGCACTGGAGTGGCTCGGGAGGACCGTCTAGAGGGAGCGGTCCTTTCTGGCTCGCAGTCTCTCTGTGCTTCCGGGCCATCTTGTAATACAGAACGGGTGCAAGGACAAAAGGCACGCTCGAATAGAAGCTGGGCATAGGCCTCAACCAGTTGAGTTCAATTTTGGGCGAAGAGAGTTGCCATGTCGAAATAGGCGGTCGGTCAACCCCTCTTATATGCTCTTGTTGAATCACGGCCCAGCTCTAACAATGATCCTACATTATGTTTCAAGGCGAATACTTTGCGAGCACCGGGTACTTACCGTTCTCTGCGCAATCTGGTCGACAGCGGTCGAATCGTCCGGTCAATCACATTTGAAGGTGTCCACGTCGGTATCGTCCATCATGATCTCCTTCGGACATATTGATAGCAACGGACAGTGCTCATTGCAAGATTCGTCGCAGCTATTAGCTCTGACGTGAGCTTGATATGCAGAATATCTGTGGCAGCGCAATGGCAAAAGGACAAATGCTCAAGGCCAAGAGGATTTGGGGGCTTCATCTCCCCCTGCGATAGAGGCACCGGCCGCCAATTGCCGAGGGACTTTTCCTAGCTTGTCGTCTGTGTGCGGATCCTGGTGGAGGACTTGCCTGAATGGATTCAAAGAGTCACCATGAAGGATAAAGAGCTGTGATCGGTGACATGGCATAGCCGATTCTTCGTTGTGTGCACAACTGGCTAGTTCCTGGTGCAGCTCGACAGATAGGATCCGGGGAGACAGGATCGGGCCAGACCATCATATGGAAACCCACGTCTCCAAAGCGTGGTCGAAAAGATCGATCAGGGCGGCTATATAATGAAATGTCCTGTAACGGGTTTGGCGCTCTTCCACATTCCTTCTGGACTCGCCCCCTTCAGTGAATAGTGTGGCCGCCTGAAGAAGATGACGGTCGGATCGGGCTGACGGCTTGACCATTGCTCCGAGTCTGCAAAAGGCCCAAGACGGGCTTTCACCGCTGCTTTGTGATCCTTATGATTCGTGTGCGGACGTGAAGGACGTCGGATGACCAGGCAGTGAATCTGATTGCAAGTCCAATAGAGGGTAGATTGCTTTGGCCCGATCGGGTCGCATATATTGTTCTACTTCTATCAAGGTCCTCTCAGGCGAAAAACCTATCGTCCCTCATCCCCTTCTGATTAGCCGCTCGCCGCTTTACTCGCCCTCGGCTCACACTCCGCTCCCCGAACACCAGTTCCTGAGGCACCATGGCATCGATGGAGCAAATACGCCTCTAATTTTCTCCTTCGGCTTTGACGTCTGCGTTCAGATTGCACATCGTCGAGTAGCCCAGCTTTGCACAGATCATATCCACCCAATCTCCCTTCTCTCCAGAACCCACTCGCCTTCAGGCTCGACAGGTGGCCATCTTTCATCCGTCTTCCAAGGAATACTGAAGTTCCTAACTCCACTGCTGATTTCTCGAGGCTCCTGACCAGGAAGCTCAAGAATTGCTGTGGCATTCGGAGGTACTGCTGTGACTCCCTCCAGTTTGTTGCCATTAGTTGTCCATTCACACCGGAACTCCCCATACGGTGAGTTGAAACTGGTTTTTGCCCAGGTGACAGACCCTCCAGGTTGAGGTTTGATGAGAGCCTTTTTCCATCCCTGCTCGAGAGGCGAAAGTCCTCCAGTGACAGAGTGAAGGAAAGACGCGACTGCGCCCAAAGCGTAATGATTGAAACTGGTCATTCTACCTGGGTTAATTCGCCCGTCCTGGAGCATGCTGTCCCATCTCTCCCAGATTGTAGTTGCACCAAGTAAAATTGGTGCGAACCAGCTCGGCGTGTCTTTCGCTTGGAGCATACGGTAGGCATGGTGTAGATTTCCAGTAGATGCAAGCGCGTGCAAGATGGTCGGTGTGCCCGCGAAACCGGTGGAGACGAGCCATAGATCTTTCTCTACAAGCTCGGCAAGACGATTCCCAAGAATGGTACGCTGGGATGGGGCAGCAGGATCGGTAAGGTTGAATTGTAAGATGAGAGAAAGAGCTGTTTGGGTGTCGGAGACGACACGGCTGCGACGGGTGACGTACGTCTCATGGAACGTCTGAAGGAGCTCTTCTGCCTCAGCCTCGCAGAACTTGGCTTGTTTATTGTCACCCAGCAATTGTGCAATGCGTCCGGCAACGCGAGTGGTGTGTATGAGGTATGCGTTCGCAACGAGACGATTATCCGTGGGTCCAATAGCTGGAGTACCAGGCTTCGCCGCCGGTGCGAGCCAATCCGCGAACTGTGGATGGTCTTCAGCCCACATGTTTGTCTGAGGGTCCCTCTTGATACCAGTGGACAGCCATGTAGCCATCGATTCATATTGATCGGCCAGCATATGCTTGTCCCCGTAGATCATCCATTGATCCCACGGCAACAGGACTGCAACGTCGCCCCAGATGGCTTGAGATTTGGCCCCTAACTCTTCGAATACATCCGGGATGACGAGTGGCACTCTTTTGTCTGGCCACTTCTGCTGTTCTGCCCACAGGTCCTTAAGCCAACTGGAAAGAAAACCGGCTGTGTCGAACATGTAGCCCATGGTCGGGGCAAACACCTGTATATCACCTGTCCAACCAAGACGTTCGGCTCGCTGAGGGCAGTCGGTTGGGAGAGATATGGTGTTGGATCGGGTTGACCAGAAAACGTTCGCGTAGAGCTGGTTGATGATGTTATGAGAACATTCAAAGTCACCAGTGCGTTCCATGTCTGAGGACAAAGCGACTCCCACAACATCATCAAGAGTGATCCCGGGCCACCCATTGACTTCAAGGTAGCGGAAGCCATGAAATGTAAATCTGGGATGCCAGCCTTTGATCTTACCACCAAGCCGAATAGTATCTGTAGCCTTCGCCGCTCGAAGAGGCCGTACACCCAACTCACCATGCTCCAGGACCTCGGCATGACGAAGAACAAGAGTACCCTCAGAGGATGGATGTTCGGACTGAAACTCAACCCATCCAGCAAAGTTTTGTCCAAAATCAATGACCGTCTTACCAGAGGGAGTCATGACTAGCTTTTTGGCCTTCAGACGAGCATACTCACGGATGGGAGGAGACTGGGTCGTTGCAAGGGTAGAGCTTGGGAAAGACTGGACCACGGTAGGCTCCCATTCCGATTTATCGTTTCCAGTATGCCATTGGGCGTCGTCAATTGTCGAGTCATATGTTTCGCCATCATAAATCTCAGCACCGGTGAGCGCTCCGTAAGACCATTCCCAATCCTTGCCTGTTGCACAGACTACTTTTCCTTCCACTTCAAGCTGAGCGAGAAGACCCATCCGAAGGCCCCATTTGTTGCGTCTCTCAAACTGTCCAACGCGTCCACAAAACCAGCCCTCAGCCACCCATGCCGAGAGCACGTTCTCACCATCGTTCATAAGAGGCGTAACATCGTGCGCGGCGTAGTGCAAGTTGGCGTCATATGTAGTCCATCCTGGGGCCAAGTAGTCGTCGCCAATGCGTTTTCCATTCAGATAAGCTTCGTACAAACCATGCGCAGTGATGTAAAGCCGAGCAGGTCCTTTTCCGCTCTTGAATCGGCAGCACATGCGAATGGGCCGTTTGGGACGTTCTGCATCTTCCAGTGGACCGCTGACCATCTCTGCTTTCCAGTCATGTTTCTCTAGGAGACCAACTTCTAAGTCTGTTTTGGCAGCCGCGATGGAGCTATCAGAACCGTGGCTCTCGACCTCCACTTGGACATGTTCTCTGCTCTTGAGCGGAGTCGATGGCCATGGCACAAGGACGGAATCCGAGCTCTCGATCACGTATTCTTCCGAGTTGTGATCGCGGCGTATACGTAATTTGTACGACTTTTGGACCCAGTTCTCGGCGTCTCCTTTGAACCTCCAGCTGAGGCGAGGCTGCGACTCGGAGATCCCCAAGGGACTTTGATAATGTTCGACGCGAAGTCTCGAAATCTCGACAGACATTGTGCAGAAAAATGAAAGGTGGGCGAGGGTATATCGGGTCACAGTCCATGGCGGAGTTGATATATACCAATTCAAGTCTCGCAACCCTGAGCCTGAATGTGCTCGCTCCAATTACTTTCGCAGGGTTCACTTTTGTGGATCCCCTGAGATGCTATACATGCTCCACAACGTGACCAATTCCATCTGAAGTTCTCCCGAACAATTTTCACTACAGGAGCTTATGCATACAGTACAGAATGCCCACAGTCAAAACCAGAGAAGATTTTCACCTACTTGTGAACCTCGGGAGAGGAGTCGCCGGAAAGTCAGTTAAGACAGCTGGTAACTTCACGCTCGTCCCTCCTCTCCTCGTCTCCACACCTCTAATGATGTCGAACCACTCGCAGGCAAGGAGACACCGAGGCAAGTCTAATAAACTCAGAACGCTCAATGAACGGTTCGGCATAGAGCGCGCCGTGTATATGGTTAGCTTTGATCGAAATGCCGGATCATGCCTCCTCTCAGCATACTCGAGACTTGGCCTTGCGGGCAAGCATGCACCGAGGCCAAGTTGAGGTATGTCACTAGCACCGAGATAGTCAAGCCGCCTCTCCTGAGTTTGCACGACATCTGCGCTCTTTATACCTTTAAAGCCAATGTTCGGGACGTGACGCTCTCTGTGAAACATATTCACCACTCAAAAGATCACGACATCTTGTAATTCGATCTACAGTCCACACCATGGAACACAAAGAAGAAGTTGTACATACTGAAGACTCGGCCATGGCCGTCGACGAGAAGGCGCAAGCTGTTGTGCATGATGCCACAGCCCGTGGGCAGATGCTGACAGGATACGAAGAATTCAGCTGGTTGCAAACTCTCAAAGCCTTCAAAATCTCTGTTTTGTATTGTTTGTTGGTAACCCTCGCGGGCGCTGCAGACGGCTATCAAGTAAGATCAGTTCCGGGTGCAGATGTTGGGAAGCTGACAAGCTCGAGATTGGTATGAATGGCTCCATCATAGCCCAGTCAGGCTATGTCCGACAATTTGCAACGACAACAACAGCCGATGGAAAACCCGCGTTGTCGGCGCAAGAGCTGGTTGCCATCGGCGGAACCACCCAGTCTCTTGGGCAGGTTGTTGGCATGACTACGATGCCGTTGTAAGCCATCCGCCGTGTACAATCACCCTTCAAGGCTTCTCATCCCCGAGGACAAAGAAAACAAATTTAGGGCCCGGGTGGAGTAGTGCCGTTTGGGTTCAGATGCACCTGTTAACTTCTCTGTCAGCTTGTGTGATCGATTTGGGCGGAAGATTGGGTTCTACGCCCTTTGGATCATTCTCGCGCTGAGTGTGATGACGGAATGCCTGTCCACATCTTGGCCACATTGGGTGGGTTTTGAATTGCATGATCATGAATCCTGAGCCAATACATGGGTCTTTAGATGATCGCCAAACTCCTCTCTGGAATTGGTGTTGGGTCTCTTCAATTCCTCACCCCAACCTACATTGCAGAAATTTGTCCACCCAAGATACGAGGCGCGTTGATGATCTCATATAGTTGGTGGTGAGTCGCAACGAGGATGTCAAGACTGACTTCTAACTCCGTCCGAGATTCATTTGGTATTGGTCCTGGACTTACTTTTAATCTAACAGGTTTGCTCTCGGCGTCCTGTTGGCACCAATTGCCCTTCAAGTCATGAATTCGAATGACCCCTCCGATTGGCATCTCCCCATCTATACACAATGGGCCCATATCGGATTGATGCTGGTCATCTACATAGCGCTTCCAGAATCACCGTGTGAGCATGACCGAGACTGTAGCCGCACACTGGCTAACCAATAGAAAGATTGGTGCGCAACTGTGAAGAAGCAGGAAGAAGGAAAGAAGTTACTCAAGCGCATAAACGGCACTATCCCAAATTATAATGTCGAAAGGCAATGGGCAGTGATCCTTTGCACCGTCGAACATGAGCGGGAAGTCGCTGCGGCGAATGCTGGGGGCAAATGGACTGACATTTTCAAAGGAAGAGACCTGGTAGGACGTCCTAATTTCACACTATCTCACGCTTTGGCAACTTTCAAGACTCATGAGGCTGAACACTCCTTCTAGCTCCGAACCATGATTGCAAGCTGGTGTCTTACCGGCTCACAATTTCTTGGTCTCACAGTTTTGAACAACTATGCTGCTTACTTTTATCAGCAAGTCGGACTAAGCAATGTTTTTGCGCTCACAGCCATCACCAAGGCACCTCAATTGGGGGTGGTTCTGGCCCTGATGGTGCTCATCGACAGATTTGGCCGCCGCGTTGTGGCATGCACGTCCCTCACCCTCATGTGGATTTGTGACCTGGGAATCGGTATTTTAGGTCTCGTCCCGCAATCCTCTCAGGTAAAGGGACTTCTCGTGTTCTTGGCCGCAATGTTCAGTAAGTTACTTCCCGCGAGTTCTCCGGAGCTCCCAATGTATCTCTTTCCCCTTTTGTGTGGCATTACGTTGACTGATGCTGACAATCCGACCTCCTTAGCATGCGCTGCGAGTGTCGCTTCTGCCATCGGATACGGATTTCTCGGTGAAATTCCTTCGCAGCGTCATCGCGTGCACACAGCCGGCTTTGCAGCAGCCGTGGCTAGCGTCATGGGTATAGTCAACAATGTCATGGTGCCATACATGCTAAGTAAGACTGCCTGGAACTGGGGACTGAAGTCGACGTTCTATTACTTTGGTCTTGGAGCTGCTTTTGCCATCGGCTCTTGGTTTGTCATTCCAGAACCCGCAGGGTGAGTCATGGCTCCTGCTCTTCAATTTTGATTTTTCGATTTGGGGGTTTTAGGAGCTATGAACTGATAATATGTTAGGCGCACGTTTGCCGAGCTAGATGAAATGTTTGAGAACAAGGTAAAGCCCTGGCGGTTCCGTTCTTACAGAACGGCCACTCAGCATGCGGTGGACGCCCAACGCAGGGCTGAAGAGAGAAGGATGGGAGCAAATACGGATATTTAACTACAATGAGGTGTATTTGGGCCGTGAAGAGGGCAAGGCCGGGTCAAATGGCCTCGATAGTGTTCAACTGTGGTGAATTGCACGACATTAGGTGGTCTACTTTCATGTCTTTGCTCCGTAGTATATTTCGGCCTTGATCATACGTCATACCGCAAAGTCCGAGTATCGATCAGTCTTGCTCAGCATAACCACTTGCTCTATATTCCTAGGCCATTTATCATTCCCTCCATTGGCCTCCCGCAGAAAGACGAAATCCTTAAGACAGAATTATAGTTATAGCAAATGAGCTGACCTTATTGCTTTTCACCACGAATGTAACTCCGCCCATGAAAGGAATTAGACGTACCAAAACTCATCGATGATCGCTTGTTTTCATGATAATTTTATAGGAGACACGAAGATAGAAGAGTATTGAGACCTTCCAAATTCGATATTCTAATACGCCTTTCGAGGGCTCGGGATGGCCTTGCCCTCATCCCCTAGTCTCTTCCCAACCCCAAGGTGTATCCAAGCAAGATTATCCATGACATAGTCAGTACCTATCGGTAAGGGGTCAGGTAGCGGATGTCTCTGTCCGTATTTCAGGGCCGGGCCAAACACCGTCCCTGTCTCCTCCTGATATTGCTTCCATTTTTCTATAAGCTCCGCAAGCTTCTCTGGTTGCTCATTTGCTAGGTCATTCGTCTCTCCTTGGTCCATCGAGAGGTCGTATAGTTGCCATTGACCCGTCCCAGTTGCAGTGTCAGATTGCATGTGGTTGATTTTCCAACGACCAAATCGCAGCCCGGCTCGATTGTAGATCTCCCATCCTACAGCCGGATCATCATAGCCGTGTATAGCATTCATTTCGTGATCTGACGAAGCAGACGAGGGCGTACGGTCTGAGAGATAAGACACCCAGGATTTCCCTCTCATCCCAAAAACGCGTCGATCCCTGTATGGCGCAGTGGCGCGAGGATGGGACGGGGATGGGTTCGGATGCCTGGCTGCTGCCAGCTCCAAAAAGGTCGGCATAATGTCCATGCAGGTTGCGAAGGCGTGGGAGACGGTGCCAGGGGCAGCTTGAGTCAGCGGGGGGTAGCGTATGACGCAGGGTACACGAATTCCACCTGCGATTTGGTCAGTATTGTTCATCTTGGCATTTCTGGATGTGATAACGGGCTGTACCTTCAGTGCAATAGCCTTTGTACATTCGATGTGGAGCAGTTGCAGCGGCAGCCCATCTTCTCTGCATCAGAGCTGTTCTTGGTTCCAAGGGAAATGCGCATCCTTACCTGGGACCATACCAGCAGAAAGAGTTGTGATTGCCAAGATTTTCATATGAATTGTCATAGTATCGGTTTATATCCATCGTGAAATCGTCCATGACCCCTTTCGATTCTGGGCACAGATTCAAATTAGCTATCGGTGTTCAAAAGGGCCAAAAGAGAATAGAATTGACAGACCTTTCGAGGCGCCTTCAGCTCCGTTATCCGACTGAAAGATCACAAATGTGTTGTCCAGCTCCCCAATCTTTTCCAGATAACGTAGGACCATACCTGCCGCTCTGTCCATGGACGTAACCATGCCCGCATAGACCTCCATAGACCTCGCGCTAAATTTTCTCGTTGCGTCGTCCATATCTTCCCAGCGTGGATGATTTGTGACGACTGGGTAAGCCGTCGCGTTCGGCTGAACTATACCCGCCTTGATGAGCTGCTTCAATCGCGTTTCGCGAAGAGCATCTGGACCTGCGTCATACACTCCACGGTATGCATCGCGGTCCTCTGCCGTGCATTGAAGAGGCCAGTGAGGCGCGGAGAAGGCTAGATATGCAAAAAAGGGCTGTTCTTTCTCTTCTTCCGTTCGGGACTCGAAATACTCGATCATCCTTTGAGCGTAAGACGTCGAAGAGAACCAGCCTTCTGCAGAATTAGTAATGTTGGCTTCCCTATTCTCGAGTCAGATCCTTGGACTATGATGATCCACAGAGCTAACAAGGCCAGACTCACGGCATCCACTTGTGGCCGTCTTTGACGTAGATCCTCGGCACTCGAGCAGGATTAAAATTCTGCCCCTGCACGACCTGATCCCAGGCAGGTTCCCAGCCGAAATGATTGCAGCTTCCAGGCAGAACACTGAGGCTCTTGTGAAATCCTCGAGCAGAGGGGATTGTATCGTCGCGAAGACCGAGATGCCTGAGTAGTCATAAGCGTCTGCTGCCAACAAGCATAAAGCTTAAAACCTCTTACCATTTTCCTACCATGCAATTCCAATAGCCATTGTCTGAAAGCACTTCAGGCAGAGCGGCAATATCGAAGTCTAGAGTCATGTCAGATCCATCTGCTCCACCCTTTTAAAGATGAAGTAATGTTACTGAGATATCCCTCTGATCCTGGTCCGGTCCATCGATCAGGATCCATACTCTTGGTAATGTCAGAAGTGCTAGCTAGATGAAAATGCTCTTACAATCACAACTCACCTTATGCTCGTGCATTACACCAAGCCCAGCGATGTGGTTATCTGTTCCAGAAAGTAACATTGAGCGGGTCGGTGAGCACGCCGCTGCAACATGATCTTCTCACGTTCAGCAATGGGCTTGTCGAAGGGTCCGAGACTACTCACAGTCACTCATCCGAAGTCCTTCGTCGGCGAGTCTATCCAAGTTTGGCGTCTTAATCTCGGCTCCGTAACAGCCCAAGTCGGAGAACCCCAGATCATCCGCCATCATAATGAGAAAGTTGGGGCGTTTGGGTGCCATCGCTCTTCTCTTTTCCTAAATCCCGACGTGAAAGAAGGAACGGCAAAGGAAGCACGCTTTTGCTGGAGAGTGAGGAGAAAATGTTGAAGTTACAATGCTCGTTCTCGTTATGCAGCCTTCTGCAAACGTACGGACCAAGTATCAGAAATAGGAGATTGCCATACGGAGTAAGTCATAACAGAATCTGGCTGAGAAGCTCGCTTTCGGTCGAACATTAGCTGCAAGCTTGGATCCATATCCGGACAGTATAGGACCGAATCTGCGAAAAGCGAGGAAGTCTCAAACCTTCTCCGGACCGGCGCCTTGTCGTTTGGCATGGCGCGCAGGGTCGATGGTGTTGATGATTTCACATCAGACGAAGGAGCAAATGTCCGAGGTTCCTACAAGTAACCAAACGGGTTGCCAAGGGTCTTTCTGATTGGTCCCCACAACTTCTCCGCTCTCGACTCTTGGCCGCAGTGCCGACTTCCGGACTCGTGGCTTCTTTGCTTCCCCGGTTCTGTCCGGTCAATATACTGGCGGAAATGGATGGTTCTTTGGTAAAAGCTGTCGCGCATGGACCCGAGTTGCTGCTGTTCACCTCGAGGCTCAAGCAAGCGCTTACACTGTGCGGCACTGGTGTTATGAAAGCATTGTAGGGAAAGGATTCATCTCTGCTTTGTATCCCGATTGAAATCGAACAGTAGGACGAATGCGATGGTATGGCCTGACCTCTGACCCGCAGGTTGCCAGATCAAGGTGATGTATCTCTTCTGCCCAGAGTCCCGTGGTTCGATTGTGAGAGAACGTCTCAGGAGAAAGCCACAGCCCAATCCCCAGGCCAAGCTGCCTAGGGTGATTCGTTAGCACAGCAAGAACAACTCGCACAGACAGGTCCCATAAACAACTATGCGACCGCGATAGCCCGCCGGCACAACGACGGCCGAGATTTCAGTTTCGGAGTAATTGCTCACGAACTACGACTGTGAGATTCTTACGTTAACCATAAGATACAGGTGCATTGCGTTATGAAAATCGTTATCCGTACACAATTTAGGGTGTTGGCCTTGTAAGACTTATCTAGCTTCCCGTTTCCGTGATGATTGTCGATGGCTTTGCTTTACTGTGCAACAGGCAAAAATTGTTGTTTCAGTGATGGCTCTGTTCCTCGCAAAAGGTGGTGCGCTTCTACAGCTACCTGCAGGCTCGACAGGTCTTGGGCATTTTCTAGGATGAAAAGGTGTACCGTAGCGGCATGGGTTTTGATATGTGATTTCCATTGAAAATCATTCCACGACAACCCACATTGTCTGGGCAGGGAATTCGGTCTTTCTCTCGAAAATGGCCCAGCGACAGCGTGGTGAAATATCTCGAGATAGGAGAGGAGCAGAGACATGCTTGCCCAGGCGCCGCGAGACGCCCAGAACTTCATCAACAGGTGCTGTGCAGTCGTCGAGAAGACCCCATTCTGAAGTACATCTAACAGGCGCTGGCCGGTGAGCCACTGATCATTGTCTTTCGGTTTGCCTCCTAATCATGCCGGTGCCCATGACGATTGTCTTGGCCCCAATCTACAGTTCTTGCGTAATTAAGAGAACGTCTCCTGTTTCTATATAGCATGGATTCCAATGGCATGGGTCACCAGCGAATGTCACGGCCGTGCACCCAGAAAAAACTTGATGCATAGAATTTTTATATCAGGACTCTCGGTCGCCAAGCATTCCTGCAGCACATGCCGCCGTGAGAGTTTCCATTGGGGAGCCTGTGGTACGGCGCAAAACCTTCAACATCACTTTCTTTGCCCGCCATGCTATACTGAGCAATAGAAAGATTTGATTTTTGCTTATCGATGTCTTCGTGATCGCACTATTTATGAGTTCAGGGGCCTTCCTCTTGCTCCCTACTTGCCGCGCCGCCATTCCAGTTAGCCTTCGCTTGATTCAGGAGTTCCAGGATTTTGGCAAAATCCTTCTGATAACCAGGCCACTTAGCCATGGCCATCTTAATGATAATCTCCGGCGTGACACTCTCCATGGCCATATCATTCTTGCCCTTGACCCTCCTTTGAAACTGCACGGTAGGGTCGGCTCCATACTTGAGGAGAACTTTGGCAGTGGCGATAAAGGCTCGCAGTTGCGAATCTATATCCAGGGAACATTCCAAAAGGTCCCGGAGTAGACCGGTCCACGCAGTACAACTTTCCTCTGATAACATATCATCGGGCAAAGTCAAATCTCGACAGTTTGGATCGGCGCCCTCTTCGAGAAATAACTCCGCAGCTTCGGGGCAGGGGTATCCCAGCAGACTGGTGCCCCGGTCAAATCGAAATGGCAGGCGTACAGTACGCGTCGCTAATGGAAGTAGAAGCTGTAGTTGAGATAGAGGAACACCCTTACCTCTTACTTTTGCCTCTATATATGGAATGGAGTCGCGTACAGTCGCAAGCTCCAACATATTGTTGATAGTCGCGCCGTTTGGTGTTTCACCGTATAGTTTTTGTAGTGGCTCGAAATATGTCTTAAGCCAGCTCATATCTGCGACAGAGGGCACTCCTGTTGTATCTGATAGTGAGACTCTCAAATTTTCGGTGAGTTGATTGCTGACAGTGTCTAACTCGTCGAGAAGGCTTACGTAGTCGTCGCCAAAATGACCACTTGAGCTTGAAAGAAAGTAGGCGATACTAAGTGCGGAGGAAAGGAGCTCGAAGCTTCGCTTGGGGATTTCAACTCTTGTGAAAAGATCGGTTGTCGTGTCGTTGAATGTTGAGTGGCCATTGGAATCCCACAGAGTCCTAATATACTCTGGCTCGAATGCCGCTTCTCCACAGCATTTCATACGTCGAATTAATCCGCTCAGCAAGGCAAAATTGGTGTCCAAATCGGAATCAAAGCCTGCAGAATTTCGAAATATTGATTCCCAGATGTTGGGTCTGGACATGAACTCCTTGGCGGTTTGGTGCATGAACTGTACCTCATCCGTTCCCTCAAGAAGTCCCCCGCATCGACTCTTAAGACGGCGCTGCAGCTTTTCCCACCGAGGCCGCGATTCTGCCCAGCTTTTAGGGCAAAAATCATCGTCTTGTACTAATAATCTTTTGCCATTTTCTGCTTCTAGATGCCCTGGCTCGGCGAGGAATAAAGTTATAATGTCGAGAGGACCCTCGCTGTCGACTTTGGACCATCCCATCACAAGTTGAAACAGTCTCTTCGCCTCAGGCAGATAGCTCGGCTTGACGATCTGCATCATGTGCATATAGAGACCATCTTTTCCACGAAGCTTTCGAGGAAGGCATTTGAGGGTCTTCATGAGTTCTTCTTTCGAGTCGCCATCTGTATTTCCATCGATGATTAACTGAACCACGATGCTAACCCAGAGGAATACCCCACGTGATGCTTGGGTTATCAAGCACACAAATTCTGACCGATCTGTGAGATCCGAGGCATCCTCTGCCAGACGGTTCTGACAATATTTCGCGATAGAGTCAGCGGTGTGCTCATGCACATGGAGCCTGGGAAAACCTTTGAATGCATTTTCAAATACACCCAATTCTCGACTAGACATGCAGACCTTCACATTTCGGTAGCTGGTGAACTTGCAAAGCAACTTTGCGATCTGCCTGTATCCGTTCAGGATCCAGGAGCTTTCGCTCCAGGCTTCATCATCATCAGAGCCGTCGTGCATCAAGTCCAGCTGTTCTTCCTTGTATTGACCTTCCCTGTCAATCATGCGATACTCGTCTAGGCCGTCAAAGAAAAGACACAGCCTGGAGTTTGGAAGATGGTGCAACATTGAGAGAAATGCCGCGCTGAGGTTATCCTAAGAATCAAATTCTTGAGGAAGTGGCGACGAATCCACGAAGAACTTCGCAAAGACCTTAGGGATAAGGGAGGGTCGGTTCCGTAGAACTTGGTGCAAAATGCTTCGAAGCATTCCTTCTCTCGATTTCTGGTTTTTGTCGCCTCGTTCGAAGAAGAAGTATCCAGCTAGTATTAATTCTTTTCCGTTGGCCCATAGAGAGAGTTGCCTTTTAGTTTCGTCATTTTGGTATATGTACTTCATCAGAGTCGACTTGCCACAGCCCGCTTTACCACTGATCCAGAAAAAGGTTTCCTCATTCTTGAGCCAGGATAAAAACTCACAGGGCTTGGGAGACGACGCGTTGGTTGTTGATCCGTGGTCCAGTACCCAGGTGCAAGTATCCGCGTACGCGTCCTCGATCTTATCCTCTCGATTGCTCATAGTGGAGAAGTCCAGGTGCTTCAAGATTTCTGTCAATTCTCAGAGAGTGTTCAAGGGCATGTAGTGACTTAATGAACTCACGCTCTTTTCGAGCCGCAATTCTCTCATTCTCTTACAAAATAGTCAGCCAAGGCTCCAATAAATATGAACAACCAGCGCTGTGATAGAAGACCGTTGCAAGAATTGCTCAGCTAGGAGCACGTCACTTGAGACACTTCCGAGAACCTAGTCGCTCCAAGAGAGAATTCAGGGAGGCTGAATAGAATCACAGAAACAAACGACCATCATCTAGAAGCCCACGTCCTTCTGAGGGCCATTGGCCTCTATCCTTGGAAGTTGTCATTGCCCGAAATCAAGGAAAGCTTATCGCGTGACGTACCTTGCTGGTCCTCTGGCTGTTGGACTTTGCGAAGGTTGTTAATATGGAAAAGAGTCCTTTGATAGCCTGGGTCTTTCTTTGATGCGAACTTTACCATGTTCATGTGATTCGCATGGATGGTAAACTGATCAACGTGAAAGCCATCGTAGATGGCAGAAGCAGGTTTTACAATCTGTTATTGAATCTTAGTAGCTTGTAACCAAGGCATGCTCTTACGAAGTGCTCATACCAAGCCAATTCCAGTTGGAATCTCCTCCTTACCGCACACTATTCTCAGGTTTTGGGAGATTGTTGTGAATTGGTCTCGCTGCTCATCCAGGGCATGAGCATCTGACTTCAATGTCTGTAGGAGCTGGATATTGGGTTGACGAAAAGAGAGATAGGCGACATTTGCCGCCACTTCTGCTAGAGACTCCTTGTCGCTTCCTCGATGTGGCGTCCCGAGAAATATCACGCCGGTGGTACGAGCATATATCTCGCCGAGGTGAGGATGTCTGTTGTTGCTCTTGTATTCGGCTGACTTAATCAAAGCCTGCTTCACAACCAGGCCCCCAAGACTGTGACAGATAAAGACAATAGGTCGGGTCTGTCGTCACGAATTAGTAGCGAAGATTGACAGGGGAAGGTAGAAAGACGGACGATGCCAATCCGAGCTCTCGCCAAGTCATCAAGTAACGTTTTCGCATGGCCAAAGATACTCTCTTTGCCAGCATAAGAAAATGCATTGGCTATATCGGCATCGTAGCCCCAGGTGATGATTCTGACATCCTTCACGTCGTCTTTCAGCAAGTCTCTGGGCCAGAAACAGTCTTGGCTCGACCAAGTCTTCAGTCGCGACCCGCGAAGTCCGTGGACGAAGACCAAATCAGTCCCGAGGGCCTTCCCTTTGCAGTCGTCACTGATTTCCAGTGGGCCAACGTCCTCGCTGTCCTCAGCCGATTCCTCGATGCCGCTCTTCAGGACGCCCTTCTTTTTGTCCGTGTCCGTGTCCGCGTCCGTGTCCGCGGGGTTCTTCCTCTTCCTTGTGAGACGCTTGAGGAGACTGGCCATGAATGCGACACTGTCCAGATGTCTTCTGTTTACGCAACTGACGCAATTCAACAGCAATCTTCAACAGCGAGGCGAGTATCAAGAAGCGTTTTGGGTGCAAAATCCCGCCCTTCGGCTGCTGGCGTCGACAGGATGGAGGTGGTTGCTTCCGCACAACATCATGGCAGACATCAAATTCAGCCGCACTGGGAGCAGGAAAAGTACACAAGTTACGAAGAGCCCAGCCTAAGCGAGGCCACGTTGCCCTGCATCATTGGCAGTTTGAATCACAGCAAGAGGCAGAGCGAAGCGCCCGGAAACGCCCAAGTCCTCAGGCTACAGGACGCCACCACCAAATTTGTGTGGCGGGATGCGGCCATCCCTGTACCGATGCTGCACCCTGAGACGTTCGCGGTTTCCAGCGAATATGAGTAGGTTTCCTTCAGGAGAAACGGTAGCCTACCAGATAGCAATATCGAGGTCTCGTCGACGATTGTGTAGCTTTGCCCTGGTCCTCGAAGTCGCATGACCGCAGCCAAAGTGTGAGCATTCAAAAAGGACAGTGCTCCAGAGATGAGGCTGAGGATGGGTGAAGAGCAAGGATCACAACCTGATCAGCCTGAGAATGGGGCTGAGCAGGCAACCTCCGGCATCTGACCGCGCCATGGTCTTCATGCACGCCAATTAAATCGAGTCTCGCGGTTCCTACACGTGATTTGTGTCACCCAGCTACTGATGTCACATTTACCACTGGTTTGATGACCCAAGGGTAGAGATGAGACTACCAGGCAGAGGCCGACCATCATATAAACAGATGTCACGTGAGGAAATCTGATCCAAGTTCGGTCGTCATCCATACCCAGCCAAATACATCCAATTGTCAAGGCCAGGCGCCGTGAACTCATATCCTTTCAGCCTAGATCTTAAACCTCTAGAGCAAACCCGGCGATGATATCTCTCTGTCTAGAACCTCAAATCCCATCCAATACCCGGACCCAATTTGGGCAGTTCATCCGCCACACTCTGGACGTCCTTGTCTCCACGTCCACTCAAGCAGATCACCAGCGTCTGATCCTTGCCCATCTCCTTTGCAACCTGCATAGCCCCAAAGATTGCGTGACTTGATTCCAACGCAGGAATGATTCCTTCCGTCTCGCTGAGCGTCCGGAACCCTATCAGTGCCTCGGAGTCAGTGGCGCTGATGAATCTGGCTCTCGAGCTGTCTTTCCAATTCGACAACTCTGGTCCCACACCAGGGTAATCTAGACCGGCGGAGATGGAGTGCGTATCGCTGATCTGGCCATGCTCGTTCTGCAACACGTACGTCCTCACACCGTGAAGGACACCTATTGACCCTCCGGAAAGTGTGGCAGAGTGCTTGCCCGTGTCGACGCCTTCGCCAGCCGCCTCAACGCCGATCAACTTCACCGACGGATCGGAGCTGAAGGGGAAGAACATGCCCACGGCATTGCTTCCCCCACCAACGCAGGCAATCACCGCGTCTGGAAGTCTGCCGGTCAATTCCTTCATTTGTTCCTTGGTCTCCTGGCCAATCACGCTCTGGAAAGTGCGAACTATGGTTGGGAAAGGATGAGGGCCAATAGCCGAGCCGATGATGTAGTGCGTGGTATCGAGGTCGACGACCCAAGCACGTAATGCCTCGTTGACTGCGTCCCGAAGCGTGCGGGAGCCAGCTTCCACCGCCACAACCTTGGCCCCAAGGAGTTTCATGCGGAAGACATTGAGAGCCTGACGCCGTACGTCCTCGGCGCCCATGTATACGACACAATCCATGCCAAATTTGGCGCAGACCGTTGCAGTTGCTACACCGTGCTGGCCTGCACCCGTCTCTGCGATGATGCGTGTCTTCCCCAGTCGCCTTGCCAGAAGAATTTGCCCCAAGGCGTTGTTGATCTTGTGACTTCCCGTGTGATTCAGGTCTTCTCGTTTCAGGTAGATCTGCGCACCGCCGACTCGTTCAGTCAGCCGGTCAGCCAGATGCAGCGATGAAGGCCGACCCATGTAGGGGTAGTATGATTTGTACTCTTTCCAGAATTCTGGGTCGTTCTTGGCTTTTTGGAAGCCCTCCTCGAGCTCGGCCAAGCAGTCCATTAATGATTCGGGAACATACTGTCCACCAAACTGGCCAAAGCGGGCAGGAATGGCATTGGGATTGGGGGCCGTGCCATTTGTGGACGAGTTGAGGGCATCAAGCTGGTCAGCAAGGCCTGGTTCGGAAGGGACGTCGGCATCGGTAATGACTTTGTCGACTTGCACTTGATGGCCGTTCAGACCGTTCGCCGCTGCGTTGGGTTCCTTTGCAGACTTCATAGTCTCGACGATACCCACTTCCCTTGTTAAACCATCCGTCGTGTTGAAATCGCCGACTTGCCTGCCTGTGATCTGGGAGCAATAATCTTGAACAGCCTTTGCCCGTTCACCTTCCTTCGCATTGCCCAAGACTGTCACGATCTGACTGCCGATCACCACTCCCTCGGCAATCTGTGAAACACTCAGGAAGTGTTCTCTCGTGCTCACACCAAATCCAACCGCGGCAGCGATACCACCTGAGTACTGATGTACCCGCTCCAACAGCTCAGGAAGCTTGGTGTTCAAGGTGCCAGTGGCGCCCGTGACACCCATCCTCGACACAACGTAGATGAACGAGTCCGCGATTTGACACAGCAGCTTCATTCTCTTCTCCGAAGTCGCAGGGGCAATCAGCGGCACGTAACTCAAGCCGGCCTTTGTGCAATTGTTGCGAAATCTTACAGCCTCTTCCGGGGGCAAATCGACCATGATAAATCCGTTCACACCAGCCTCTTTGCAGTCTTTCAACATGCGATCTTCGCCGTAGCGCAGCAGTGGGTTATAATAGCCCATGAAAAGAACGGGGACTTTAAGACCCTTCTTCCTGGCGTCGCGCACGAACTGGAGGGTTGAGGTGACGGTGATGCCATTAGCGAGGGCAACTGTGTTTGATTTTTGGATCGTGGGCCCGTCAGCGATGGGGTCTGTGAAGGGGAGGCCGAGTTCGATAATATCTGGAAGATACATTAGATACAACGCTTGATCCATCGAGAGGATGTTTAGTCCTTACCAACGCCACCAGCTTGTAGACCGAGCATAATATCGGGAGTCTCTTCAGCGGTGGGATAACCCGCAGTGAAGTAGCCAACAAGGGCCGTCCTCCCCTCTTTCTTGCATTGGGCGAATGTCTGTTTGATTGCCTCCATCTTGGATACGAGGGAAAATGAAGATTGCAAGAGTGCGGTTCTCAGAGGAGGAGAAGGCGGAGGCACGAGGAGAATTTATAGACTTCGACTGAGAGATGTGTCGTTGAGTCACTCCGTCGACTTTGGACCAAAAGTTAGCGAGGTGTGACGATAGCGGATCCCGTCTCAGCAAAGAGATAAGATTGTGGTGGTGTGTAGGAGGTCAACCGCTTCAAGAATCTGTCCCTCTCAAGTCATGGTGTTGCAGACCGTCTTTGATTGCGATGGCGGGCACACCCCCCGGTTGCGGGCCAAAGAAATTTTGCCGCAGTCATGAGCTAAGGGAGGACCTTGTCGCTGGGTCGGCCGTGTCCCTGCATAAGTCTGGAAATGCTCCAGCCCCGCCGAGATCGGCCCGCGCACCTCGCCAGCCTCGTTGAACAGCCTCGTCCATCATCAGCCTTTGCTGCCGTGAAATGAGTTTATATCGGCCAACCAGTAGGTCCCATGCGCAGTTTGGCTGTTTGATGGGCTTTCGGATATTTGAGACATATAAATGCTACTCAACAGCTAGATGCACCGCATGAGAACCAGTTCTCGCCGTACTATACCCGACATATCGTAAAAGAACAAGGCTGGGCGGCGGCTAATGCACTCAGCCAACATCCGCTCCGTGTCCACCACTATCTCTCCCTTGTAAGGTGTAAATATGAACCGCCCTTTTCGTTCTTGCGGTCTGTCTGCGTGTGACTCATAAAGTCTCGTTTCGTGGCCGCTCATTCCATGTTCGACTGCTCCGAAATGCTCGAACAGACCTCATCGAAATATTGCTTCGCAGCTTCGGTTCTTCTGCTGGAGGTGGTGATAGGAGCTCATAGAAAGGCTATGCGGCGGAAGGGTCTGCAATGGGTTTCTGAAAAATCTCAGGGGACCTTCCTTCACTTTGGCCGCTTCATCAGATCCTCCATGTCTTGTAAAGTCTGGACGTGGGCGAGCGCGGGTTTGACCACTCCGACCTCCTGTCCGCCGCCGTCCGCCATGCCCCTCTCAGCGTCGTCAGAAACCACAGTCACAACGCTGTCGACAACACTGTCCAACTCTTTCGTCTTTTTCCTTCTGTCCCATATCTCCATTCCCTTGTTCATGCAGGCCGCTATCAAGACAAGCACTGAATTCACAATGGTCCCCCACTGGCCGATTGCAATATTTGCCTCATTCGTCGGGAGACCCCCGTGCATCAATGCGAGTTCATTCATCACAATATTGCACACCATGAGCGGCAAACACAGAATATCAATTGCCAACCCCAGCATCATCCATGGAATGATGAATGAAGACAACGCCAACTTCCTCAACGACCACCTCGCCCGACGCACGTAGCCAAACAATGCGAAGTATCCACCGTACCACCGTTCCATGCTCGCCTTGTAAACTGTTTTGGTAAATTGCTCCCGGTGGCCCGGATGAATCAGGTAGCTCATGATCAATTTCGTGCACAAAACCGATGGGGTGTGTTCCTGAACGTCCATACTGAGCGCCGCGTAGGCAGCAAACTGGATCGGTCCAACCAACACGTAGGTGGATGTTCTGTATTGTGAATTATCCAAGATCCGGTGGGGTACGGCAATGATCTCCGACTTCTGTCTCATCGGCTTCGAGATGTTGAAGCATTTGTAGGAACAGTTTGCAAAGTCCGGGTTCATCAACTTTTGGATAGGATACTCCAATAGCACCCCATTTGGAGAATAGCAGGCGGGTTCAGGCGGGTCGATCGGCGTATCGAACAGTTCCGCCCGCCCAAAGATCAAGCTGGTGCCTACCAAAAACCCCCAAGCGACCATGATGACCCGGGCGCGTGTTCCTCTTAGCGAAGAACTCCAATGGATGATACCAATATAGGCGAGCGCGCCCGTAGATAACACCGCCCACGCGGCCATGATATCCAAGTCGTAGACTCCCGCTTTGCTGGTGATAAGAGTCATGAGATGAATTGCCGAAGTTCCTGCGTATGTGAGCGCGCTCACGAGGGCGCCAACGATGAGCCATTCTGTTCTGCGACCGAAGATGGCGAACACCAAGGTTACATAGTAGAGGAGACGTGGAAGGAGACCGTAGGTGCCAGAAATCGGATAGACGCAGTTGATTTCGGTGACTGGGGGTCCGTAGCTGTTGTTGTATACTGTCTCCGAGAGACTAGACATGATCTCTAGATACGCGATCAGGATCTTCGGGGTGCTGGTTGAATTGGGTCAAAATTTGCAGTATGATGCTCGTTAGAGCTGGTCGAATCTGGTCGCATCGTCGTCACGGCTGGTTTTGTCGCATCTGCGGCGCTGTTGAGGACTTTGGCCACAGATGCTGGGTACAACTTGGCTTGACACCACGGTAATGAGAACGATGTTATCGCAGGAGGAGATCCAAAGGAGAATGAAGACGACGACAGTCTGGTGACATCGAGTAGACCTTGAATGCTGGACGAGGCGGATCAATTTGGGGCCGGCCAAGTTCCTGGCGAGGGGTTGCAATTACCACGTTTTTGGCGATCTTGGTTGGAAGCGGAATACGAGTACGAGCAGCCTTGCGAGCCTTGACAATTTCCATTGGTTGCATCTCCAGTGGCAATCCGTGGCTCTGATCCACGCTTTGATTGGACAAGGAGGTCCTCCAGTATCTCCAGTATCATGTCCAAGAGATACAACGTGCCCGTTGTGTCAACCAAGTACTATATCCTCCCACTTAGGCCCGGGCTCGAGGGCCCTATCCAATGCCTCTGTCAAGATCCGTCCCAGCCCTTCACGGTGATATATGCCGTCTTTCTTGGAAACCAACAAGACGATATAAACGCCATAATCCCGACGCGCCAACAAGTCCTCCACGTCATCCGGTAATGTGCCTTCCCAGATAGCCAATTCATCATCGGTAAACATACTTACCCTAGACATGACCAAGAAATCCAGGGGCGTCCCAACACGTGGCATCCAAGCCGCATCAAGATCGATAGTGCCGCACCACAATCCATTCCGATCCTCAATCCCTGCTCTGATCAGTCCAGGGTCTGCGGGAGCGGGTCGAACGGTGGACAAGGCACTCGGGCCAGTCAGCCTCTTTCTCAAGGGTGAAATTACTGATTTGTGAATAAGTGCCGGCGACGTGAGTTTGAACTGCGCCGTGACAGTTCGGAAGTGTAGTAAGGGGAGCATGGTGCTCAGGTTGTGGCGCGACATCGGTCCAAGATTTTCGGGCAGGGGTATAGGTGGCGGTATCCGTTCATAGGCTTGTTTGGGGAAGGAATGAATGCCGACGGCCTGATCAGCATGCCATTCAATCCACGAGCGAGCGACCTCGGTGTACTTCCATTGAATCTCTCCCATCCAGCCGGACCACGACCAACTGGGGAACCCAACCCGTCGAAACAACCTCTTCGTTGACTCCCACAGCAATGAGGGATCCAGCATTGTCTCCAGTGCGCCAAAGAATATGCTGTCTCCTATCCGTTTTTCCAACACCAGCTGCACCCCTTCGAAGGCGTTCAGGATGTCGTTGGGATTCGTCAACTCTCGTCGGGTGTATAGCTCCACCGCTGATGTGAACTGAACAAAGGGTTTCTCCCTGAAGATCCTCGTTGGCATGTCGATCGAGTCCAAGGACCAGCCGTTGGACCGCGGCATCTCCATGTCTTCGCAGAAAGTGGTCCGCCGGCACTGATAGTATATCCGTCCATTAACAAACAGAAGACACCGCCTCGAAAGCATTCTCTCCTGGAAAGTCCAGGCACGAGAATCCCATTGTGAGGTTGAAATATAATCTGCAAGCACAATATAAGTATTCGACACGGAGTTGCTGGGCTCAGACTTACCTTCAGCGAGATGAGACACCATTAAGCGCAAGCCAGGCTTGACCTCTTCGATCTCTTGATGGAATGTCCGAGACTCTTTTCTTACTCCTGGGAGACCAGCATTCGCGTCCTTACCCGAACCCGCAACCACGGTCAGAGCGGCTCTAGCATATACCCAGTCGTCATGATATTGAAATCCGTCGTCGTGCAACAGTGCCAGGCTATCTGTCCACAGATACTTCTCTTGCAACATTTTGGTGAGCTTGATGGCGTCCTTGATCGTCCGAGGAAGTTTTTCCTTCTCGAGCGCACCCGGTTGTGACAGTTTCGGCAGGTTCTTAGAGGTTGTAAACAATTGGGCGAAGTTCTTACCCCAAAGATAACTCAAGGCGACATAGCGGGATGACTGGGGAGTTTCGACAATGCACATCTTGTCCACATCGATCGCGCGAAAGACATCTTTCGGTTGTCCCAGAAGATCAGGGTGTACCAGCGACTCTTCACATTCCATCCCGTGATATGTTTCGCAGTCGTGCAGCCACTGACGAAGTTGGTGAGGATCGAGTAGGTCAGGAGAAGCAATCCTGCGCCCGAAGAATTCTCGGCTGGGAGCGTCGTCCGCAAGAAGGACTATATATCCATCTTTAAATGCTTGAGGGTCACTATATATTAGTAACCGTCGTGTCCTGGGCTTGAATATATGTTCTCCAGGGCGATTGGGATCGGGCCCTAAATCTTCCTGCCCATCTATCACCCAACGTGCGTAGCACAGCGGATCATCGTCGGCATGGAGACTCGGGTTTCGTTGATCAGAGGGACGGTCGGCTATCTCGAGCACCAGGCGGCAGTGAGGGCAATGGGTTTTATGGCGAATCTGGGAGAGTCTGCCCAGATAGCGAGGCTTATGCGTCCTTTCAAAGTCCCGTTCATCTTCTTTGATGTAGAATGACTCGAGGTTCAGATCTAGACGAAGGCAGGTGTCGCAGAGGTAGGACTGTTCTGGGGGAGTACGATCGTCCTGCAACGCCGTTAGCGAGCCGAGATTCTGCGCGAACTGCAAGGGGGAGAGCGCACTGCTGCCTTGATCCAGCTCGCGGGAAGCCGTCCAAGGTGTCTGAACTTTTTGGTCAAATTCAGGATCGAGGTAGGATGAGAACCCTCAGCGGGCTGAGGTGTCGACATCTGGGTGCATTTGTTTCCAGATTGCAGTAGTGGGGACCTAGAAGTTGATTGAGATGGGGAAATCGATAGGGAGGGCGTTGGGCACCGGAGGCAATCGCTTGCAGCCGGCGCCGGGTCCTTTGTTGCTGCAGAGCGGGAGGGGTACAAGGATGGACTGGACAGGGCCATGCACCAGAGCCGCAGGCTGCACAGAGATGGGCGGGGAGTAAAGAATTTTCCTGAACACGATGCGCCAATCTCACAACAGTAGCAAGTCTCCCTGCTGTACGACGTGAGGTAGGTCTGCACTGGCCTCGAGGATTATATCCTCACCAACACCTTCGATCTAACTGCGATCCCATATTTCCCTCACAACCGACAAATCCTCCAAGCAGCCCCGATGATGGGCACGAAATCCCCCCTCGCCGCGCCCCCCACGTCGCTCTCCTGAAAAAAAAACCTTGAACGGTCCCAAATCCACAGGGGGTGGTGGAGCTGTTGATGGGCTGGATGAGGCTATTGTGAAACAAACTCGACTGGCTGAAGCTTCTGCTTGCCTTTCTCAGCTTCCTGCCACCATTGGCCTGGGATCCCTGGCAGTGCCCGACGCCTATCACAGCCTACTAGCCCCTACAAGCTTCCTTGCCTGCACCCAAGGCCACCCATTCGCCTCAAACAAGGCGAAACTCGTGGCTCGCCCGCCTTCCTTCGACAGCCCACCCTCCCACCGGCCAGCGCACAAACCGGGAGCTACGCTTCGGCCCATCGCCTGGGGGGGGGGGGGGGAGCTTGCCGTCAGATGGGATTGCAGCGTTTCAAACCCACTAAATTATTGTGCAAAGATCAAGCACCATATGCAGCCCGTTGATTATGGAGGAATGCCTGGGCTCGTGATGAGATGCTGCAGAACAACGATGTCGTCATCTAGGATGAGAGCGCTGGCTGCTTAATGGAGTCGACAGCCGCTTAACCGAAGCATGTCCTGATTGGGGTTCAATCCGCTGCACTGGGCCAGATCCAGCACTGAGGTGCAGGTCGTTGACCTAAAATCTCAATACGAGCTGTATCTCCATGCCAATGGTGCGCAGCTTGCCCTCCAAGGTATATCTGGCATGCCTTGCCCTCCAGCCAACATGCAGAACAACCCGTCGATCGGTTCTTTTCGACCCTGTTGTTCAGCCGCGCGAAAAAAAGACCACGCAAGTCGCCAGTCGGGGGTACATCTCGTGAGCACTCCTTTTCAGAATGTGACTGGATCCCTCAAAGCTCGACCCAATATTGGCGAACATATCAAAGATGCGCTGGATTGCCAACTTCAATGACTTGCAGCTTGATATTGTCGGTATTATTGCGGTGCTAGGGGAAGGATCCATAACTCGAAATGCTCAAGTGACAAGCCTTTCCTGGTGGTCCACGATACCTAGGCTTATGCCAGCTCCACACGCGTTGTTTGAACATGAACGCAAATACCGACTGCCTACAGCTCCTGGAACCGTCGCTGGAGCGTACAATGGCATGGTGAAAAAGGAGATCGATTTCTTCGCCCAGTTGCTTCATCCGGAGCCTCTGGAAGATTACCAGGTTGAGCTTGTCCAGGTTACACAAAAAGATGTGCCTCCAGGAACAAAGTCACTTCGCCCATTTGGTCCCAAGATGTATGGTCCCTTGTTTTGGATCTCAATTACCGGAAGTGTCATGGCTTTGGCTTTGATCGCGCTCTCTATTTATTATTACGATGGCTTCTCTTTGCTGGCTACTATAATGCTATCGATGGTGAGTTCCTTCGTGGGATTTGGTACGCGCTGGAACCCGGCATTCCAACAACCGAAACTAGAAATGGGACGGGAGGACGTTATACCTCGCTCAGATGTAATTATTTACTATCCTAACGTGAGTCCGACTCCGTCCTTGTTGCTGCTCTTTTTGATGCATGTGATTCGGCTTGGGCCTATGTTTCGGACAAGCTTGGGAGAAATAATGTCAGCACGGAAGCCTCGCCTCAGACTGGGTGCTATGCGGGTGAAAAGGATCCATATTGAATATCCTTGCTTATAGACTGTTTATTAGGGATCAATTCGGGTAGTTCGACCAACCTCCGAACATATTGCTCGCCTTTATTTTCAGATGGAATATGCACAATATGACATGAGCGGTAGGCTGCTGCCGCCATTGTAGCCGGCATATGACTGATCCGTCTCAAACCAGATACCTTTTATCGTACCCTGGCCCTTTTTTCGACCGTCATGCTTATGACAGGAGTGGTATCTCTGGCGAACGCATCCAATATTCTTCAAGTGGCCTTCGCAGCTTCATATATCTTGTTGAACATCCTCTACTGGGCGGTGTCTGCCCTGAACCCTTTCAAATACCACTGGCAACATGCATACGAAACCGAAACTCTTCCGATACAATATCCGCCAAATCGGGATCCCGATGGACCTGTCGCCGTTGGGCCGGTCGAGGAATTCGTCGAGAAATTCAAACACAGAGCCGGACACGAATGGCGTCGATTCCAAGAGGCCTGGACAAAAGAGAAAAGACGCGCCCGAGCCGAGACAGTTATCGAAGCAGGAAACCTCGTCAGCGCACTGTGGTTTGCCATTGTTCTGACTGGAACGGCTCAGTGGTTGAATGAGGCCACCACGATAGCACCGATGAACGCTGCCTGGAAGGAGTGGCTGCGTGAAGCTGGCCACGAAGTCCGACCCAGGCTCGAGTACGGTGATGGTCCGGGGAGGCATTCCGAAGAATGGGACGATCGGTTCCGAATCCATCGCCGGCCACGCATCCCGACGGGCCCAGACTGGCATGTCACGCTGGCCACCAAGGAAAACGCGGGACCTTCTTCTAGAACACGCCGAATTAAGATCCTGTCCTGGGACTACCAGGGACGACTCACAGAAATCCTGCGCAGGCACGCGCATGACACGAGGCTGCCGCTCGACGACGAGATCGTGGAGCTCAATGCTTCTTTGGCGGCGACTTCGCAGAACGAGCACTTGATCCCTGCCATAACCGAGGAAGTGTGAGGTATATCGTGCACAGTGTCGACAGCTTGTTGGTTCGCCATGAAAGGAAGTCTGAGGATGAGTGGTTGGACGAGTGAGAACGGGATGAATGAACGAAAATGTGTTGTGTTGCATGGCACCCTCAACGAATGAGATTGGACCACCTGCTATTCAAGGCGGACGGGCGATTGCCTTAGGTTGCAAGCCGGCTTCTCTTTGGGGTGCAGAGCCTCAGCCGTCTCGTGTATCGATCACCCTGGTGTTCCACGGTGACTCCTTCGTCGGTGTGAATGCTTCTGCGCATTCTTGGAGCCTGAAGTCAACCACATTAATGATCAGATAGCTCGCCGGGTTGCAGTGGAACAAGATTATGATGATAACCCCCAAATGCCCTAATCTGCGCCCTATCCGATCACGCCATGCTCCCCTTTTCCTACGCGTGTATGCTTATGACCGACAACAGACCCTTCCGTCTATCCAATCCTGGCAATGTAATGTACACCGCCTAAGAGGCCGTCCTCTCCATCACAAGCTGCCACGCCTTGGGCTCGACCTGGACGACCGCCCCGTCCTCCTCCTCCGCCGTCGTGAAGACAAAGTAATCCAGCGCCTCGAAGCCGTAGGTCTGCAGATCGACCCCCGTCCACGACTGGCAGCTCCCCTGGGGGAAGAAGAGCTGCGCGTCGAACGCGGCCAGCTCCGCCGCCGAGCTCGTCTGGTACACCGCGCGCCACGCCGTCCGGTTCCCCGACGCGAGGTCCGTCGGGTACAGGCGGATCGTGGTGTTGGCGTCCACGCCGCCAGCGAGGGCGGCGTAGCCCGTGCTCGCGCCGCGCACGTCGACACCGCGGGCCGAAAAGGCCGAGACCACGAGCCCGTAGTCGTCGACGGCGAGGGTGATGGCGCTCGAGGCGTTGGACGCGGCCCCGGTCCCGGCCCCCGACGGCGAGGTGTACGTGCCGGCGTATTTGTGCGCGGCCTCGCTCGTCCCGACCTGCGCGACGCCGGGCAGGAGCGCCTGCACCAGCGTCGAGAAGACCACCTGGATCGCCGCGATCGAGCTGTCCGGGCCGGCGAGGTTGATGGCCACGACCAGGTCGTAGTCCGGGACCAGCGCCAGGATCGCCGTGTAGTCGCCCAGGTTGCCGGTCTTGGTGTAGAAGTCGATGACACGTCCGTCCGACGTGAGGTTGGCGCCGCGGGCGATTTCCCACGGCGCGCCGACGTACACGCCCGACGAGGAGGTGAAGGTCTTGGGCTTCATCCACGCGCGAGTCTTTGCCGGCGCGAGCAGCTTCGACGACAGGATCGCGGCCCCGAAGGATAGGAGGTCGTTGTTGGTCGAGTACACTCCACCCGAGCTGCGACCCTCACACGTTCTCCGTCAGGATATACTTCTTTCTGCAATGGGGGCCAGAGGTGAACACTTTACCTATTCTCGTAGCCCAGAGGCGTACCCCACCAGTTGGTCTCAGCGGGAATGAACCCGATAGAGCTATTCGAGGGAGCGCCGAGGAACGTGCGTTTCAAGTTGGCCGGCGCGAAGATGGCGTCTTCAAGGTGCGCCGCGTAGGTCTTGCCGCTGACATTCTCGATCACCCGACCGAGAAGCGCGTACCCGATGTTGGAGTACACCGGAGTCGTGAACGGTGCGTAGACAGGAGGCCGTCGACCGAAGTTGTTGAAGAAATCTGTTCGTCACACAGATGTCAGCGAAATCGTGATCACACTAGAGGGTGCCAGAGGCAGAAACAAACCGTCCCAGGTGCACCCCGGAGTACCAGGAGCGCCGCCACAAGAAAGTGAGTCTTGGGACCGGGTCAGTGGGGGCAACCCAGTCTCTTCGGTAATGCCAGACACATATGGGATAACGTTGTTCGTGACTGCGATTTTCTCCTTGGTCAGTTCATCACCATGCTATTCCACCAGGCTCGGGTGTTACGCACGATCTGCGCCGATACCGCCCAGGTGGCTCGCGAGAGCATCCACAGTGACCGTTTCCCAATCAACGGCCAGCAGAGGGTCGCGGGTCTTGGACAGTTGCGCGAGCTTGGGAACATATTTCGTGATCGGGGCGGCCAGGTCGACTTTCCCCTGAAGCTGAAGGATCGAGAGGGCCGTGAAGAGCTTGGTGGCACTGCCGATGGAATAGACGGTGTCGCCGTCGACTTTGTGCGTGCCGGTCTTGTTGAATGTCGAAGGTGTATAGTGGAAGCTCAACAGAGGGGCCGTCTCGTGGATGGACCTCACGCCCACCGAGAGCGCCGTTGCATTCAGCGAGGAGCTGAAATTTTGTAGTTGAGCATTGACTGCCGCAATGACTTGTTGTAGCTGCGAATTCTGCGTCAGGTTTGTCGGCGGTGGCAAGATCGGTCCCAAGGGAGGGCATTGAAGCTGAGCCAGGAGTAGTGTAGCATGGGACAGAATGACAAAAACAAAGCTCGGCCACGATGTAGTCATGGCAAGAGGCGTCATCAGGCCTGGACAATTGAGTTGAAATTTGGTGCTCAGAATTATTGTGATTGAAAGTCCGCTGTCGAGGGGCGTCTGTGTGCGATGAACAGTTCATGCCCAAGACGAGGACCAGCCATATTTATACAGAAGTGATATAAAGCTGCCTGTCCGGCGGATGGGGTGCTGCAAAGGTCTGTGTTACATCTCCAGGAGGAAACATGACCAGACCGTTGACGCTAGACCAGGCAGAGGGGAATATGGATGTCCTGGATAGGTGCTGAGAATAGAATCCTGCCCAACGAGGATGGAGATCTGTGGGAAATTGTCGAGACTGCGACTCACACACTTGGCCGCGTCTGGGGAAGAGAGCGAGGGAATGGGTCGCATTCTCGGATTCGCGACCAAACGGCGCGCTCAAGCGAATTTGCCCTGGATCAGCATGATGAGCCGCGTGTGTGGCTAAGACGAAGGATAACGCAAAAGTCCGAGAATAGGCTCAGGTTCTTGGATTCTTCGATCAGGGGGAGATCGAAGGGATGAAGTGACGAAGTTGGGGATATCTGGGGCTGGTCATTCAACACACGAATAACAACGAGAGGATGCTCGGATATCGGAAACCGCACCGAATGGGGAAAGGTCGGCAAGGCTGAGCGATGGAGATGCTGTGATGAGGCTGTCTGAGGTTTGGGGCCAAGTGCCTAGGCATGCACTAGAGATGCCTCAGATGCTGGCAAATTCGTGATCTGTCAGTCGTTCGAGACTCCAAATCGTAATGAGCGGATTCGCAGGTCAGGATGGATGCTTCTTCTATACTTTTCCGCTCTCAGAGTCGATATACACACTTCAAATGTGGAGAGGCGGAGGTCGTCATCCAGCTTCCCCTTGTTAATCCGGTGACCAGACTATGATCCTCCCCTCTACAAACAGTGAGGATGGAGCTAGAGCCCAACTTGAAATCCAGAAGTGCTTGTTATCTTCATTCCCCTACTAGTAAGGTCTCTTGCATGGTGTGCCAGTGTTGGGCACTGGTTGCGTCATATGTCAGATACACAACGTCCACAAACGTCTTTCCATCTTTGCGGTAGTTCAGTCCCGCAAGGACATCGAAGAAGAGCACCGGCCCGCGATCAGTGGTTCCAGATGGATTTCCTTCTGAGCCAAAGACCGCGAGCCCTTCTTCAAGTTCCATGGCTCTTGCGGCTACACAAATCAGTTCGGCTCGAAGCCACAACCCTTCCTTGGCCCCTGTCAGACGCATCAATTCAAGAGCTTTCCTTCGGACAGTGGAGTCCCGACATTTGAGCGCAGTAAGGTAGAGGGGCGCCAGGAAGGACATTTCGAAGGAAAAGCTCATGGCTTCCTCCTCGAGTGGAAATTTCGTGAGGCCCTCCTCTGCCGCGACTGTGATCCCTTTGAAGTCACCTAGGTGCTCTTCGTGGTTTGTCTTGGATGGATCGAGACTCGCGCAGGCACCGATCTTAGTAATCAGGTATTGAGCTCTTAGTATTAAAAGCGCTTGTGAATGCTGATCCGCACTCATCGCCGGTTGGGTGATGAAGTGTTCCAGATTCCTTCGCCAACTCTCCACCAGAAGCAGGGCAGCTTGTTGCTCTCTTTCAAGAAGAGGGTTTTGCGCAGATATATACTCCGGAGACGAGCTCGAATGCACCTGAAAGACCTGCAACCGCAAGCCCTGAACAAATTCCAAAATCTTGTGTAGACAGTCCCTTGCTCCTTCTATGCTAGTGAACGCCGGCAGCTGACCAGAGCTAGACAGTGGGGAACGATTCGGGGACGGCTTTGGTAATGTATACCCAAACATACTTGCGAGAAGCCAAAGTCGGTCGAACAATCTCGCCAGGCTCGGATCTATCGAACTTGTTCCGGAAGCGGACTCATTTCGAATAGCTTCTGCGACCATGCTACATCCTTTTGAGATCAGAGATACTCCAGCGCTGTCATTCATTCGGTAGAACTCAACGCAAACAAAAATGACACACGACAGAAGAGCGACATGAGCCGCTCGTGGTGTGCACGGCTCATGTAGAGATTGCGACAATGTTACGATGGATTTGTTGTAGTATCGGAGTGCTTGTCGACAGTGGGAACAGACGCAGTCCGACGCGTGATCCGAAACACCATTGTGCCCGTGTCTGAAAAGATTTCCGAGGGCAAAGATTCCGTTGCGGACGGTGGGTTCGGTATCCGCGGCTTGCATCATCTGCTTCTGCCATAACTCTGCGTCAAAGGCGCCCCCCAGGATCGACGCAATTCTGTTGGTGTAGAAGCCGTATGCTTGCCATTCCGATGGTGTAGCGCGAAAAGCTGAGAGCAAGGATGATGAGGTGTTGAGGGGTGGCGATGATGTTGCCTTGGAAGGGGTTGCGAGTACTTCTTGAACCAGTGATAGCTGGTAACCCTCACACGTTCTGCCTGCTTTGACGCACCTGGCGCACGAAGGTCTTTCTAAGCCACACTTTACTCGCCGACGCTTGCAAGTCAGACACGCTGTGCGAGTTTTTGGACCGTGCCTGCCCAGGCTAATACTGGCCATAGCATCGTCCTCGGCTGTTCAATAGAGGACGTGAAATAAACAAAAGTGCGAAGTGGCCTCAGGGCGATTTGAGGGGGTAATTGTAGTGTAATGAATAGCCTCGCTAAGCCCTCGGGGGCCGTACGCAGCAGGGTAGGGGGAGCTAGCCAGGTGTGACAGGCACCAGGTCACCTAGAGAGTAGGTACGGAGCACATTGCATCAGTTTTCCAGGTACCTTAGTGGATGGAGATCGCTGTTTTGCGGATATGCCGGTGTTCCGGCTCATAGCCTAGCTGATAAGGGCGAAGCCCCGACTTCTGGCCTCAAGACTGAGACAATGGTGTATACACGTATGTGCGGCCCATACACCGTGCTCTCGCCAAGAGAAATAAGCAGCACAGAGAGCACTTTATAGTTGCATCTATACTCCAGCTAAAGAAAATACAGTATAATAGACCAAGACGGATCTCCCTGGGGTGCCTAGGTACTAAGGCGAAGGGAGCCAGATTAGCCTTCCCGATTCTCTGTGCTTAGGGAGGCCCGAGATCCCAGACCAAAACTTAGATTGGGGTTCCTTTGAGGAGCTTGAGGCTTAGCGAGAATGTCCCTGTAACGCATCTTACAGAGCTACTGTGTAAGTAACTAAGCGCAGTGCACCGAGCTTACTCCTTGAGTCAGGATTCAAATTAGCCGAGGGTACTGACGCCAAGGCGCCAAATCCATATACATGCTATCTCTTGGAAGCCCTTCGACTTCGGGATCGCGATGTATTTCCAGTCGGTACCTAGGTAGTCCGCTGGCGAACCATATCTGATACCCGATAAATCTCAGGTATCTCACAGTGTGGCATACCTAATCAAGTAAATCTCAATCGTTTCTCGTATGTAATTATCTTCCTGGCCAGCACACCTGCAGACCTTGAAAAGGTCTCCGAGATATTGATACACTTGCGAGATGGGGACTTCGGGATCTTCTAAAGCCAAAAGTAACGTATCGTCCAAATCAAAATATACTTCAGAAACCGCAACTTTCACTCCACGCTGCAAAAGACTGGTTTCGGCAATACGGTTTGCGGCGACCCGCAGTAGACCTTGTCCCCCGACAAGGCTGTAAGTATAAGTAGCGACCAACCGTTGGAGGTTCTTCAGGATCCTGAGTCGTGAGTAGATTTACTATTTGAAAATGATCAACATGTCTGTTCCTTCTCCAGTCATGAAGGCATGGCGATACACGTCCACGACGGGCGGGTTGGAAAAGAATCTTCGCCTTGATACCAATACACCACTTCCAGATTCTGCCGCCCAGCTCGGACCCGACCAAGTCTTGGTGGAAGTGCACTACGCTGGCCTCAACCCGGTAGACTACAAATTTGCCGAAATCCCTCTTCTCAGCCGACTGCTGGCCCCGAGGCCCGCGACACCGGGCTACGACTACGCCGGCAAGGTCGTCGCCGTGGGACCGAATTCGGGGAGAGTATCTGAAGATGAACTCAAGGTTGGCCAGCTCGTTTACGGACGACTGGGTGGACCGAGTCGGTACGGTACGCTGGCCCAATATGTCGTGGTTCCGAGAGACGGGGCTGCGCCGTTGCCAGAGCATGTCAGTCTCCGAGACGCCGCGAGCATCGGCACCGCTGGGTTGAGTGCGTACCAATCCATCGCCCCGTTCGTACGGCAAGGCTCCCACGTCTTCGTCAACGGAGGCAGCGGCGGCACCGGGGCCTGGGGCATTCAGATTGCCAAAGAGCTCGGCTCCTACGTCGTCGCAAGCTGCTCTGATAGGAATGAGAAGCTGTGCCGGGACCTGGGTGCCGACGAGGTCATCGACTACCAGACCACAGATCTACTGCCCGCTCTTCTCAAGCACGACCGGCCGTTCGACCTGGTCATCGACAACGCGGGCAACTCCAACGCCCTCTATTGGCAAATGCATCGATACACGACGCCGGGGGCGGTATTTGTACAAGTCGCAGGCACTCCGAGCTTGGAATTCATGGTGGAGTGGTTGAAGAGGCTTCTGTGGCCTTCTGATCTGGGAGGCGCGCAGCGGAAGCTCCTCCACCTCCGAGTCAGAAACAAGTACGCGGATTTTGTCCAGATGGGGAAATGGCCGGAAGAGGGGAAGATCCAAGCCGTGGTCGAAGAGGTGGTCCCATTTACACAAGTGCCGCGAGCGATTGAGATGTTGAAATCGCACAGAGCCAGAGGGAAGGTTTTGATCAAAGTGTCTGAGGGCGAGGTCTAGGAAAAGAGCAGGAGTAGCGAGTGAGACCTTCACCGCGGCTTGCATTCCCACTTCATTGTTACCGTATTGCCGAAACATATCAGCACCGTTGGGATTTCTATTGGATAGTCAGCATAGTTCAACCAATCACCATCTAAGTTTGTACCTAGGAAATACAAATACCGTATTGTCGGTTGGTCGCTAACGGCGAGTCCCACCGTGGGAACTTGTGCCTGCGATATGGTTGGGGGTGGGTCAAATTGTACATCGATGCTCAAGCCCCTCTTCCAACGTCAAAGGCCATAAGAAGGGCAAAGATGTTTCGATTCGACCGTCTCTCACTCCAATGGATCGTCCGTGAAGCAAACGTCGAGGAAAATGTCCCAGGCCGAGTTCGAGTCGGTCATCACAAAGGCTGTGAGCGACAGAGCCGTCTCAGGAGCTGCATGCGTGGCTGGGCGCAGAGACGGTACCAAGTTTTGACGCTTGCTCGAGGTAGTTGCGGTTTCGCTAACGACGACGTGATCCCAGGCACGGTCTTTTACGAAAAGGCTTTTGGCAAGACAGGTGCTGAGGCAGATGCTCCCGAAATGCGACCGGATACTGTGGTGTGGGTCGCCAGTTGTACCAAGGTAGGCTGACTGAATACTCGGACAGACAGATGAAGAGGAAGTCGAGTTCTTGGATTCTTCACTCAGTGACTAACACTGGATCTATTCTTCTTAGTTGCTCACGTCCATATCGGCCTTGCAGTGCGTCGAGCGCGGCCTGCTGGACCTTGACAAGCCGGTCTCGGAAGTCCTCGCCGAGTTCAACTCGCCTGACGTCCTAACTGGATTCGACGAAGGAGGAAAGCCGACCTTGCGAAAGGCCACCCGAATCCCTACCCTCAGGCAAATGCTGTCCCATAGTTCGGGCCTGGGATACTACGGCATGGCCCCCTTGCTAAACAGGTATTGGAGTGACGTCCTGGGGAGAGAAGCAGACTTTGCCAACAGTTCTGTACGCTACAGCTGTGACCTGCCCCTGCTCTTTGAACCCGGTGAGCGTTGGGAGTATGGCGGATCAATAGACTGGGTGGGCAAAATGGTGGAACGGGTGAATGGGAGCGTCAAACTGGGAGAATACATGAAGAACAACATCTGGGATGTCTTGGGGATGGCCTTGACGACTTTTCGCCCGCTGGAGCACGACAGTGTGATGAGCCAGATGGGTCGACGAACCTCGCGAGACAAAAGCGGGAAAATCACCGTCGACGCCTCTGGCTGGTTCCCCATCGTGCCAGACTTGGAAGATGACTATGGTGGAAATGGAATTTACACGTGCGCCAGCGACTATGTCAAAGTGCTCATGTCCCTATTGGTCGACGACGGCAAGTTGCTGAAGTCCGAGACCGTGGTGGAATTCTTCAAGCCCCAACTCGAAGATGGCCGACATATCACGGAATATTTGGTCAGGGGACCTCATTCATCGGCGCTCTTGTCGGGTCTGCCTCCAGACACTCAATTCAACCATGCGCTTGGTGGTGCGTTGGTCATGAATCCGGTCGAGGGCCAATACGAACGTGGCACCATGTTCTGGGGAGGCCTGCCAAATTCATTCTGGGTGAGTATAGGTCTGCCCGCTAAAACTCGACTGTCCTAACTTGGCTGCGCCGTACAGTTTATCGACCGAGTCCGCGGAGTCTGTGGCATCTATGTGTCGTACTTGTTCCCTCCTGGTGACTCGATAACTCAGGCCCTGAACACTAGTTTTCAGAAGTTCGTACACGCCTGCCCTTAGAGTTGTGATGTTGGGGTATTGGCCAGCCATCAGCGAGATCAGGCTCCTGGGACTTTTCTCGGCGATGCGAGAGGCTCTTGTCTCGACTTTCGTACCGGGGTCTTTTAAAATCCCATGGATTCCGGATCTTGGAAGATGCTAGTCCAATCCATGCCGTCAAAATCTGAGGCCCCAAAGCTTTCTGACAGCAGAATTTCAGATAGACTATTCAAATTGGACACCGTCTCGAAATCAAGTGGACCGGCTCCTGGTGCAGCGAGCTCTGCAAGACTTGGTGTATGGGCAGTCTCGGCCGATGCGGACAGCTGCATGAGGCCAGATCCACCATTAGATGGCTCGATTCTGACCGAGGCTACGTCTGGGTGCGAGTCTGTCGTTCGACTTGCTTCGTGCCCTTGGGTCGAATAGTTCATTCTGCCATGGGGATAGAGGATCTTGTTTTGCTCGGCGTCGTTTTCATTGGCTCCGTGGTTACCAGTCCTCTCTCGCACAGTTTCTATAAAGGAGATGGCGTGACCAGCAGAAGCGTATACCTCCCGAAGCTGCAACAAAGCGTGCATCGCCTGGCGAAAACCTTCCACGGCAGCATCGTGACTGTCAGTGTCGTTGGATGTGGTGTCTTTGACATGTTGGACTGCGGCGGCAAGGAGTGCCGTCACACCTATCGGTGGGACGTGTTTCAAGAGATTCTTGTCGCCAAGGTACTTTGCGATCTCTGTAATTCTCCGGGCCCCATCTCTCAACTTTTGTCTTGACGAATCGTGGAGTGAGTGAGCGGCCGAAACTGTGGGATGTTTCAATGCCATGAGCGGGCGGTGCAACATGCTCAGCGCCGTATGATAAACCATTTCCAGTACCGCCGAGTGCAAGCTCACAAGTCGACAGTTGCGCTCGGGTTCTATGTCAATGGCTCCGCTGAGCCGCGAACAGATTCCCTCACCCCACTCGATGATTTCCTGGTCACGAACCATAAAGTCCGACATGAACGCCTCGGAAGTTCGAGGTAGGAGCATCATCATCGTTTCTCCAGTGGTTGTGCGACGATGCCCACTAGCCAGATACTGTGAGTCGAGCACACGACCGAGGAGTACGCACAGCTTCATGTGCTCGATGGATAGCTCGATTAATATTTCAGGGCGGGTGACGATCCCCGGCGCTGGATAACCCCTCAATGCTCGAGAGAAGAGTTGAGGCTCGAAATCGTCCGCCGTGAGGATGGCCAGGTGGTCTTTATCGTCCCTAATGCCGCTCGGCCGGCGTTCACTGAATGAAATCAATTTGTCTCTGACATAGCAGCACCACCACAGTCTTCTCCTGGAACGTTGCTGCTTCGCGTCGAGTCCGACCAGTTCCGAATCTCGGTCGAGGCCGACTTCATAAGCAAAAGATAATGCAATTATCATCCAGTAAACGCGGCCTTTGGGGTCGTCCGGCTTATCATACCAGTACGTCATCAGCACAAGTACCTTGATCAATGTGAGTAGGTCGTTTTCCACATCAAAATCAACCAGGAGCTTGAGAATCAAAATCAGCACGGATAATCTTTGCGGAGTGACTGTGTGGCTTGCCTTGACTCTTTGAAACAGGCACTTGCGTGCATCCAACTGGCTGTTGAATCCCTCCTTCTGTAGAAACTCCATACTGACAAAAGACGCAGCTGCAAACATTACAGCTTGATACAGCACCACACTTATCTGATTTGACCTAGGGTGGTCGTTCAAGGGTAGCATGATGTCTTCAAGATCTAGAAGTGGTAGAAAAGGGTGCACATAGTGAAGGTAGCTACGCATAAATTCGCGCTGTACCGCCGCTGGCGGCAGCGCGAACGCTTGTTTGTGTTCCAAGAATAACAGCGATTCAGCATCGAGCGTGGGCCTGAGAGGCTTGAGAAAGGCAGGAAATTCGGATCTCGTAGATGTGACTGAGGGCGACGCCGTAATGTCCGCTGTTGTGCCATTGATAGCGAGATCCACATTCGCGCTGTTCGTAGCTGGAGAGCGTCTCTGGGCCTGAGTCAAGACATTCCTGTGAGATTCGACTGGCAGACATGAGTACCGAGTTGGAAGACTAAGGCACTGGGAGCAAAACAACTGACCTGGCAGCAAAGGCAGATGATTGATGAGAGCATAGTCCGAGGATTGTGACGTTGCAGACAATGAGCCGCCAAGTCTAGCCTCTTCTACTTGAGATGCTGCCGTCCCGTGAGTATCAGTGTCTAGGTCCAAGCAATGGGCTTGCGCTTCGAAGAGATGGACTCCGATTGGTGGATATGTCACTTCACCACCTTGCGCCAGCCCCTTCCTCTTCCTGGCATGGTTGACTGTGCATTCGTTCTTTGCCCTCGTACAGTTCCCACAAGGCGTGCCGCTGGTAGAGACGTCGCATTTGACTTTCCTGTTGCGACAAGGAATGCACGCCTTGGGAGCTCTGCGTTTAATCATATCGGTGGACAAGGTTGGTAGTTAGGCAACGCCTGAGAAGTTGAAGCGCCATTTGCTCTCGAAATGGTTTGCGTATCCTCCTCGACGCTTCAAACGGAAGTGGGTTGTATCGCATGAGGTCCTCCTAGTGCCAAGTCGAGGAGGCTCGACCTAACCGTAAGCGGCTACTGTAGAACGGACCTGACGCCGAATGCCTCGGTGGGAGAGGCGCGACGGCAGTGTTGTCCCAGCAACAGAGCCGAAATCTCAGCCTCGTTTCCTTTAACTGGCTCAGACTTAACTTTCACTCTCAATCACGACATGTTCTAAGTTGCAGTCCAGGCGTTCTGTCGGCAAGGGTTCGGCAGTACGTATCAGCACTCTGCGAAGCCTGTCCATTTTGGGGGGATTTGGATCTACTCCAATGTAGCATATCCGTGGTCGCGATGCGTGTGGCCATGGGGATTACCCCAGAGCCTGCGTAGTCCAGTTGGCCGAACGTGGTCTCTCATCTGGGGCAGTACAAGTGCGGGGGCCGCTGACAATATGGTCCGCTGTATGGCGTATAAGAAGAGAGGCTTTCTGACTTGAATTGAGTCGTCTTCTATCCTTGGGCCAAAAAACCCTGTTACTTGGACGATCGCGCGACATGACAGTCTCAAAGGAAGAGGTGCACCCCGAAAGTGTACACGATGAGATCTCGAAAACCCCTGATAAGAGGAATGCGTCTCGCGAAGATGAAATCCGGGCATATGAAAATCGCAAGCTGGACTTCCGCACTGTCATGGCCATCATTGTATGAAACCCTCCCGCGACGTGCATTTCCCCCAAGCCTTAACTCATAACCGCCAGTCTCTCGCTTTCACCTATGAAGCCAGCCTTCTTTCCTTCGTCCTCCCTGCTGCGGTCCTTTTGACTATTGACAACGACATTGGCCCGTCGACTCAACTCAACTGGGTCGCTACCGCCTGGTCTTTGGCTTCAGCAGTCACCCAAACCATCGCCGGACGCTGCAGTGACATATTTGGACGGAGGAATTTCACCCTCGCTGGAAACCTGTCATCTCTCATCGGTATGTTCCCTTGTAGGACAACCTCGACACTGAGTCATGACTAATATGTCTCCAGGATGTGTCGTTGCTTGTCGGTCGGTTCGATCAGTTGACGTGAAACAAGGTCTGCGCTCATCATATAACAGGGCAAATACCATTACTACCGTCATCGTCAGAACCACTTTGACCGCAAGTATTCGTCTACGCAGTTCAGAATTCTCTAATCAACGCTAGGGCATTGGATCGGGATCTCAACTACTCGCGCTTGCTTGTGCAAATGAAATAGTTCCCAAGAAGCGTAGAGGCCAGGTCTTCGCATTCCTTAGCATTGCCGCACTTCCAGGTTCTGCCTTTGGTTCAGTCATCGGTAGGTTGCGGAACCGGTCGCCAGATACGGGAACTGACACAAATTTAACACCAGCCTACGCCCTTGTCGCCAATCTCAACTGGCGATGGACTTTTTACGTCGGTATACTCTCAAATGGCGTTGCCCTGATCCTGGCTGGCATCTTCTACTGGCCGCCGGGATTCATTGGCCTACATCCCGAGGGCAAGAGTCGTCTACAACAATTCAAGGAGCTCGACTTTGTCGGGTTGATCCTCTTCGGTGGCGGTTTGACGAGCTTCCTTCTCGGAGTTTCATGGGGTAACAACCCATACCCGTGGCGCAGCGTAACTGTTTTGGTTCCTCTACTATTAGGAGGTGAGCAACAAGACCCGATTGGGGATTGACTTAATAAACTGAAAATCACCAGCTTTGACCGTTATGGTGGCCTTTCCCTTGTGGGAGATCTTCAGCTCCGACGATATAGCCAAATTGTGCCCGCCGAAGCTCTTCCGCAATGTCAGAGAATTCTCACTGATCCTCGTGGTTATTTTCGTATCTGGAATGCTGGTGAGGCTTTGCGGACATTCTTTGAAGATTTAAATTCACTGATACAATTCTGTTCAGCTTATTAGCCTTCAAGTCCTCTGGCCTCAGCGTACGTTATCCCCATCACTCTTAGGCTCAAACTGACGACTCTTAGAGGTCCAGCGGCTGTTCACCACTGTATCGAGAACTGTGGGATGGTACAGTCTTGCGTACAACATGGCAGCCACTCGTGAGTGCTCTTCCACATCCTCTTCGATGACTAAACGACCTGCAGTTGGCGGTAGCCTCGCCGGTGTCTTGTTTGCAAAGATCAAGAAAACCAATTGGCAGTTCTTCTTTGCCACCGTTGCGCAAACAATCTTTATATCATCGATTGCTTCCGTCACTCAGCACACTGCCGCCAGAGCAATCGTTCTCGTCGCCCTTGCGGCGTTCTGGGTCGGTGCTTCGCAGCTAATGGGAATCCTCCTGATACAATTCGGTGCCGAGGATCGTCACATTGGAGTTGCCACAGGGTGATTGTCGTGCCCTGACTTTGTACTTGGAACCTCGCTCATGCTTTGCAGCTTGATCGGCTCGGTCCGATCGACCGGCGGCGCCATCGCGATTGCGATATACGGGACTATCATTCGCGACAAGGCGACGAGTGACATTGTGCCTAGAGTTGCAGCCGCGGCAGTCGAAGCTGGCCTTGCGCCTTCGGAGGTGCCGTCTTTCATCCGTAATCTCCCTATTTTCCTCGTCACAAGGTGCAGTTTGTTGATTATGCATACAGTGGCTTTGACTTCTGGTTCGGCATCGGCGCTCGCCTCCATCAAGAACATCACTCCAGCTATTATTGCTGCCGGGGCAGACGCGATCAAGACCGTCTATGCTGAGGCATTCAAACTAGTTTTCCTCGTCAGTCTTGCTTTCGGAGGTAAGCTGGGTACCATTGGGTTTCGACTGAATATTGCACGACGTTGACAACATTTAGTCATCTCTTGCATTACCGCGGTTTTCGTTCGAAGCGTGGACAAGTCGTTAACTGAGTGAGTGGTTTTCTGTCCCAATACGAAGATACAGCTAACTCGGATCCCCCCGCAGTCAAATTGCTGTAAAGCTGGACGCTCCGCATCTTCGAGGCCATGGAAAAGGCAAACCGGTGATTCTGCATGAGAAAGTGGGTGAAATCTGATCGAATTATTTCGCAAACCTGGCGGACTTGGTGCGCAGTGGCGAGGGGCAAAAGAGAATGGGAGGATTCAGAGCCAGATTGGCGCGACAGCGCCTTTGACACCCAAAAGCGCCTATATCAGAGCAGGCTAGAGTGTGATATATCTGGAACACAAAGAATAGTCCCTATAGACTAAATTCCGGGGCCCTAGCAAAGATCGCTCTCATCTTGCGCTTTTGTACCTACGACACGGTGATGAACCAATTTCTTGATCACATTTGGCATGAGCTGCAGCAAGAAAATTGGACCCTTTCCCATTCTTGTGTCCTATTGAACGCCGACAAGGTGCACTCTGCCAACACCTTTTTGGATCAATGGGCACTGATGCGTACTTGTCCTTGCATTGTCTAGTCTATTGTGATGCAGTGCCCGGAAACAGGGTTATACTTGGTTCTGTTCGATGCTCTGAGGTTGCCAGGCAGAAAGTTGCTCTACACCGCTTGCCAACCACAGTCGGTGCTGACAATAGCTCCATTCAGGTAGTCCGCATCATCGGAGCAACTGAAGGCCACAAATTTGCCCAACTTGTCAATATCGACCTGCCCCGGGTTCAGCTTAGCGACACTGAAAGCCAACTCTCTCCCTTCCTCGTGGACCCCGTTAGTATAGGCGGTCCTGATGTTGGTGTCCATCATCCCAGGCATGATTATGTTCGCACGGATCCCTTTCGTTGCATAATGAGCCGCCGTGCTGCGAGTGAGGCCGACGAGAGCGTGTTTTGCGGTGGTATATGCGACACCAGCAATCCCCCCGCGCAATCCGTTTATTGAGCCGATATTCATAATGACACCGCCCCTGGGATCGGGCCTTCCTTCCCGCAGAAACTCCTGCACGGCGAACTTCGACATTCGCACGGCAATCATGAGATTTATACTAATCACTCGATCGAAGAAGTCCAAATCCACATCCCCAATGGGAGCAAAAACGTCCATAACTCCGGCATTGTTGATCAGAATGTCGAGAGTGCCAAACTCGGCTTTGGCCACTTCGACCAGCCTCTGGGCGGCGCCCACGTCTGTCAGATCGGCTGCAAAATCATGGATTTTGCCGATGGACGACAACTCCATTTTGGCTTGGGTGAGCATTCCGGCATTGACATCGTTGATGACAACAGCTGCGCCGGCATCTAGCAGCGCCTTGGCGATAGCCTTTCCTAGCCCTCCAGCAGCACCGGTGACTATGGCGACTTTGGAAGAAAGCGGGCCTGACATATTTGAAGATGGAAAGTTGAGAGAGTTGGGTTGGGGTGCAGTACAAGAGCATGTGACAAAGCCTGTGATGAGAGGCACAGATGACATATATGTACATATGTATATATGGTCTTCCCACAGAAAGGGTGGGATACGTAGCTAGGAGAAGCGGGGGTGGTAGATAGACCGCCGGCTCTCAAGTGTTAATATATGCCTTTACATCTCCGAACCCCCGAAATCCTTCCTCCTTTGCCGTCAAGCTTTGCCTGGCACTTCTTAGTTGACTCTTCCGATAAGACTTCATCTACCGGTGGATAGTCATCTGGCCACCCTCCTTTACACGTACGACTTCGGGCCCAGGACGTAATGTCCGGTGCCATAGAGTGAAATATGTTGGGGGAGAGGTAATAGTAACCCTGATAGATGGGATAGCTTGATCTTCTGTTAAGATCATTCCTTCAAGGTGCGCAAATTGTGCTGAAGCTGTCTTAGATGTCGGCTGAAAAGGGTATGAAGCCACAAGGCATAAAGATAGAATTCCTCGAGAGATCTGGCTCCTGGTGATTTACGACCCTCAACCAAGTCGATTGCAGCAGGGAGCGTTCAGAATACAATTCTTGCAACTTATCTGGCCACTCCCGTGGTTGTCTTGAAGATGGTCGCCGCACGGGCGCGTCGACCAAGGTTCTGTTGCGAGGCAGCATGACATCTTCTCGTTGCAGCAAGAAATCTCCCAACTACGCGGGCTGGATGGAGCAGTATCAGAGGAAGTCAGCCTCTCCGCGGAAGAAGGCAACAGCGACGAGAGCCACTGCTCCCGCCACCTACAGGTAATGGACTGACATAGCTAGTTCATCTCAAACACCGGTATAGTTGTCGGTGTTCGGCCCTTTTGTTTTGGTCCCAATCCATAATCATTCTCAGACATCAAATCTCATTACTCTGTCTCTATTCCACTTTCCTTCTTCATTATAAGCCGGATTGTTTCAAGGGCGCTGTCCTTATTACTGGCAGGATTTGCATTAGATGGCCCAGGATTGTTGTACAGCGGAATGCTTCTCCAGTTCTCCTCGCTTTCGTCGGCCACCTCCACCAGCGTTCCAGGTGGGTATCGATCATTCGGGTTTTCGGCAAGAGCTATCAGGGCATTGGCGATAACAATAGGATCTAGTATCTTGTCTTTTGACGTATTAATCCAGTTGGCGACCCGAGGATCTTCCAACATGAGTGGAGTCTTGATCGTCCTATAATAGGAGAATCCTTGTGTATCAGCCTCTGGTGTCGCCCGACAACGAACAGCATCAGAACTCAGGCGCTATACCAATGAGCCTGTTCGAGGGTATAGTGTTCACACAAGATGTCTCATGCAGAGGGTACTTACCCTGGAGCAACTCCAACAACACGGATACCGCAGAGATCCTCGAGAGCTCCCATTCCCATAACGAAACTGCCGATGCCATGCTTTGATGCTTGGTAGAGTGGAGTTATCACGCTGACAGTTTCCGCCGCAATACTGGCGACGTGCAAAATTGTCCCCTTTTTCCCGGCGCCTAGCATTTCCCGGATGGCGATCCTACTCATCTTTATCGGATGGAGTAGATTGACGTCGATCACCTTGTAGTGAGAGCCCGTATCAATATCGCCCCAGAACCCTGTCGACGGCTGGTAGTACCATCAGTTAATAGCTGCTTTTATCTTCGATTTTCACAAATATTTGGAAACCTTTTGAATTTGAAAATAAAAGACACAGAAGCCGGTCTTGGTCATAACAACATACCGGCTCGTAAATCCCCGCTCCCGCACACACTAGGTCAGGTACCGTCCCGAACGCCTGTTTTGCGACAGTGAAGGTGTTTTGCAATTGCGACCAATCGGTCACATCAGTCCGTTCAAAAACAACCTTGGGCGTCTGCTTCTCAGCCGCAAGATCAAGGAAAGCCTGTGCTTCGGGTCGAAGACTAATATCTGCGATAAGGACATTGCATCCTTTCTCGAAAAGGAGCTTTGTAAATGCCAAGTTGATGCCTGAAAAGGACAGCGGAACAAATCAATAAGACTTCAACGCAGCCTTGGGAAAATCGTGTAGTACTCTAAAGAGTGAATGTAGGATCACGCTTACCGGAGCCAGCGCCTGTAACTATAGCCGAGGCGCCGTTGAGGTCGAGCCCGGGCATGTTGAAAATGTGCTGTGCTTATAACCTTCGCCCCTACTAAAACGAGCCGTGTGAAGGAGAGATTCTTGATTGACGAAACTGCAGTACGAAATGTTAAAGCTGTTCTCGTTCAAAGCTGGAGATGGTCAACAATGTGCTGGGCACATTTGAATGTCTGACTTCGGGCTTGGCAACACCGGCCATCTAGCCGTGGGCCACAGCATGCTGGGGCATCCCCCGAAGGTGATCTGCCGAAATCACCCTTGGTGAGGGAGGGGGGAGTGAATTTACCGCGGGTTGCAAGAAGAGAAAACTCGAAAATGCTCGCGAATCCGGCATTGCGACAAATCAGGACTCTCTGCTTCAATACGAGGGCCGCTAGCGGCATCTTGGACGGCCCGGCATTGTGGTCTTGCGTCGGCATCTCCATCCTTTAACTTTGCGTTGTTGTGACATAAACAAAAGTCCCAAGACGCATTTGACGTGTTCTGTAGACCGAGACACATCCCAGAAAGTCCCAAAAATTCTCAAGTCGTGTATTTTACGTTGTATTCGATACATAGACATGTGCAAGGCGTACAGTTTACTACGCTCCGGCATTTTAGCTAGGCTTAATTAAAGCTTTCTGATGGACAGAGCCGCCGGCGTTCCCTGAGGCCCTCAGGAATCTCTGATGATAACAATGAAAGTCCTCCGTTCCGACGCACCCAAGTCCCCTTGATATACGTCCTACTGGGCTTCCAATTCTTGCTCCTCTTCCCGCCGATGAATGTGGCCGGCAACGAAATCTAGAGTACTGGCGTCGTTCTGGGCAACGAACCAGCACAAGATCATACCGATACCGCTGAAGGCAAAGCTTGTGTAGAACACCGTCTTGTAGGCGTCTGCGTTGGCTTGACGGAAGGCAAAGGATGCGACGTCGAAAATACTATCAGTCAATCCTGGAATGTTGGTGACATTCATGGGGGTCTCGCCTTGCAATCCAGAGATCAAGGCCGGAATGGATGAACTGGGAAGTCCGGCGCCGATGGCCGCGGGGGTGACTCGACCAGGGACGGTAGTTGCGAGGCGATTGTTCAGTACAGTAGAGTAGATAGCAACGGCAACACAGCCTCCAAAAATTCGGACCGCACCACTAAGACCACCAGCCGTACCGATCTCTTCTTGCGATCGCAGTGGAAACGTGGCGGTCGCAATCGCCATGCCCTCCATAGCTCCGATGAACAGACAGCCCACGATGAGCAAACCCATGGTCAGTGGCCTGTTCAAAGGATCGGCCGCGCAGGCTGTGAGGATCGGGCCGGCAACGGTGATGCAGGTTATGATGGGGATTCTTGGTCCGACCATGGTGGCAACAAAATCACCGGTAATTTGACCGAAGACGAAGCCCATGGCGACCAGGCCAGTGAGCGTGGCCTTGTAGGAGTCGTCAAGTCCTGGGTATATGGTGGCCACAGCCTGGGGCCACACGATGCCGAAGCCATAGTAAACGGCGGCGCCTATAGCAGTCAACCAGGTGACCGACATGTACCGCAGATTCCTGAAAAGGTGAAGTGGGAGGAATGGCTCGGCGTTTGCGATTGGCAAGTACATCTCCCACAACACGAAGACGATGACCCCGATTGCTCCGACAACTAACGTGCCAATCACATGCGCATCATGCCACGCGTAGATATTCCCACCCCACTGTAGGCCCATCAAGAAGATGAGAATGCTCCCTGTGAAGAGGACGAGACCAATCCAATCGAAGCGGAGCACCACCTCCCTCAGTAGGCGGTTTCTGTGCAGCATTTTGAAGGTCGGTGGATGATAGAAGAAGTACCAGCAAGCGACCGAGACGGCGTTAATGGCGATCATGAAGTAAAAGCATCCTCGCCATTTGACACTCGTCTGCGCCTGGATCGTGAGCGCGATCTTGGGAGCCAAGGGGTTCGTCGGAAACGTAAAGGCCAGCATAAAAGCATTGGCGAGATATCGATACTTCATCGGGACGAGTTCGGCAGCGGTCCAGAAGAAGGACAGCTGAACACCAGACGAGAGCCCGAGCAAAACCATGGCCCCAATCAGCTGGTTGACTGTCTGGACGCGCGAGGCAAATATGCTGCCGATCAGAGCCACGGCGGAGCCCGAGATGAAAAACCAGCGTCTTCCAAAGACATCGGTCAGTCTGCCTGCGAGCAGCGTAGTGACAGTCTGAGTCAACAACCAGATGAGAGACACCCAGGTGATGTTCTTGCTGGGCCCAATATCGGCGTTGATATCAGACAGCAATGGCGCAATCAGAGCGAAGCCTCCAGAAGCGCCCAGCATCGCAAAGGCGATGGCCATGATGCTCCCCAAAAAGCCAGGGCTCCACCAGTACCCCTTGGGCACTTCACTGACATCTCGACCACGTGCTTCAGGAAGGCGTTCAGTGTTGATGTCCCCAGCATCCTTGTCATAGGTCTGGGACTTCACCTCGATATGACCGCATTCTGTCGTTGTCGTGAGCTCGTCGGCCTTAGCATGGGCTGAAGTTTCCAGATGAGTGGCTGCCATGCTTCCGGCTGACGATTAAGAGACGCGATGGAAGAGGACAAAAGAAAGGATGAATAAACAAATGGCGGGCCATTTTGTCTTATTGGCCACATCCTCCCTCCTCCATCACTGCCTCCGGCCGGCTATTGCACGGCGCTAACTTGCCGCACGTTTCGGCAGCTCTCGGCTCATTGGGACACGCAGGTGAAAGATGGGGTTGGCGAAGCACGGCATTCCCTGGCACCTCTGCAGACACTCTCTGAAAGTTTGGCAAATTCTTCGGCAAGATCCCGCCCTCGTGGCTCCAAATAAGGCAAAGTAGAGGCTGGGACTTAGCATCTAGGAGAGAGTAAAGGAATATATCTGGGCCGACTGACGGCGCTGAACTTTCCTGTCTAGTCGATCAAGCTGCTTGCGCACCCTTGACATGTTCTACTCTACCGGCAGGACGTCGTAGAGTTGACCCGATAGAGTCCACGTAAAAACGGAGACTTTCGTCCACGCTTCACAGTATCAGCGTTGACTATTCTCCAGATTTGTCCAGAGTCGACCTGTTGTAGGAAATTTTCACACTTTGATCATGCTTCCAGGCGAATATCGTAACTGCGACCCCGTTGACTGGCCGGCCGAAGTAGTTTATGGCAAAGTGATAGGTCGGTAGATTGGGACCTAAAGGGCGCATTCGTGCGTGCTGGTGAAATAGAAGCGGTTTCTTACCGAAGTATAGTGTACTGGACGAGGATTATTTCAGAATAGATTGCTCCAAGACGGCTTGGATTAAGGGTGTTAAAACGGTACTATTCTGGCGCCCTAATCGACTCCTTGCGTATCCGTATTTCTGATTACTCCTTTTTTTTTGTTGGAGAGCTACGTATTCTCACTTCTATGCCTACACTTGTTCTCAAGTGCCAGTTGCTCGTCCTCTTACGAGTCCGATATCAGACGGGGTATCGAATCTATTTTTCTACCCATTGGTCGAATTTTTGTATCAACCATGCGCTATCTGTTACTCGAAGACACGTTCAAGGTTGCTTTTACCTTTGACAAACATCCATACTTTTCTTTTTCGCGGTCACGTAATAGTGCGCATGATTTAGTACAGCTGTACTTACGAGAATCAAAAGATGGGTTCCCCACGGGGTTGGCAATACTGACTCGGCTCTTTTGGCCATGCCGAAGGAACTCCTCCCCGTCAACACTCTCCAAACAGCCGCCTTTGCACTTCGGGTATCGTTTTGTCATGGTAGGAACTTTGGCAACTTGGTGTGAGGAGCCGAAGACTTTGTTGTTGAAGCCCTTGCCGGGACCAGTAGAAGAGCCTCTGTTCAATGAAGCTGGCCTTGGCCATTCGAGCTTGGGAAGCCCAACACGAATATATATTTGCAGGATTTTCATGGTCGTCCAGTTGGCTTTCTTCACAAAGCAGCCTTCTTGTACTCCGTATTCACAATCAATTCGACACCTCAACGAGTGTATTAGCTATAGTGAGTCATTCCCATGGTTATTAGTCCCACCACTATAGACGCCGCGGAGTCCATCATGCCGGCTGTCTTGAAGGACAAGCTCCCAGTCGACCATGAGGAGATTGTCGTGCTCAGCGCCCTCACCGACGAGGAATTGCAAGTCGAGAAAACGCTCGTGAGAAAGATTGATATTCGGGTTCTGCCCGTGATTGTGTTGATCTACATCATGAACTACATTGACAGGTATGCGTACATCCTTCCCAGCACCTGATGTCTGGTAGTCACCACTGGTAAGGCTAGCAGACCTAGCTGACGTTACGTTGTATACGTTAGAAACAACTATCCTGCAGCCCGCTTGCAAGGCCTCCAGGAAGATCTCAACCTCACAGACAAACAGTATCAAATCGGACTGTCGATCTTATTTGTTGGGTACATTTTAATGCAAGTTCCATCCAACATGCTTCTCAATTCCGTGAGCCGTCCATCCTGGTATCTTGGAGCTTGCACAATGCTTTGGGGACTTGTGTCGGCCCTCACATGTCTAGCCACTAATTTCAGCTCAATTCTTGCTTGCCGCTTCCTCCTCGGTTTTATAGGTATGCGCATTCTTTCCATTACTGATGTTAAGTCACCACCTCTTTCTCTCCTCCTTCCCCCAAGAGAAGTCTCTTTAGTAAGTCAGTATTGGCTAATATTATCCATAGAGGCACCACTTTTCCCAGGCGTCATGTTCTATCTGAGTAAATGGTACACGAAAAAAGAGCTTACCTTCCGCATGAGCATCTTTTATAGCGGCCTACTTATCAGCGGAGCATTTGGAAATTTAATTGCGGCCGGGATCTTGAGCGGTTTAGCAGGAAAACGAGGGCTCTCTGCGTGGCAGTGGCTCTATATCATTGAAGGCTGTCTCACTATTGTTATTGGTTTCATCACTGCAGCCTTTCTTCCGGATTATCCACACACATGGAAATCTCTTTCTCCAGAGCAACATTATGTCGCCAATCGACGAATTGCGCTGGAAGCCGCCGAAGCCGACCTCGACAAGGAAATGGAAATCAGCCAGCTTCAAGGTCTGAAGCTCGCATTTATGGACCCGGCAACGTACCTCTTGACAATCGCTGACTGGGGCCTGGCCGTCGCGGGCAGTTTTCAAAACTATTTTCCGACACTGGCGGCAACTCTGGGCTACAACCATATCGTATCTCTACTCCTTGTGGCACCACCCTACCTATTCATGGTCTTCTTCATCTTGGGACACTGCTACCTATCAGATCGACTGAGCCATCGCTTCTGGTTCTTTATTTATCCACAGCCTTTGGCACTGGTTGGGTTCATCATCTTCATGACTACAAGCTCGTTTGGGCCTCGATATTTTGCTTGTTTCTTGTTCTGCTTCTCGTTTACAGCAGTACCGACAGTGTTCTCCTGGGCGGCGAGTTCGATTTCCCGGCCACCAACTAAGCGAGCAATCGCTATCGCCTTTATGAACTGCTTCGGTTCGACAGCCAATATCTGGACACCATTCATCTATCGGGCGCAGGATGCGCCTCATTACACGCCTGCAATGGTTGTCAACATTATTGCTGCCGTTATTTGCGTGATCTGTGCAGTGATCCTCAGATGGCTTCTCATAAGGAGAAATCAGGCTTTGGAACGCCAAGAGAATGAGGCCGTTGAGTTGAGTGAAACCAGCGTAAGGAGACTTCAAAAGACGGCAGAGTTGGAGGGTCTGGACATCGCAGCTGCTCGTCGCTTGCAGAAAGATTTTCGCTACCTCATCTAGAGGAGACTGGAGGAATATGTGTGTTATTGCACAGTCGCGTCAAGCATGTCGGTGATTTCGTGTACTCAGAAGGAGAAAATGCTGTTTTTGGGCAGAGAATCTGTCTAGTTTGGTAGCGACTCCTCTCGCCCTACAGGTGAGCATCCGGGAGACAGGAGCTATCAGGATATAGTGGACAGCTCAAATGTGCACATGGTACAGGTTTTTCTCATACGCTTTGACATCTGAGCGCCACAACAGCTCCAACATTCGTTGTTCACATGATCGGTCATGTAGCATAGATGAGTCGCCAGTGCAAGGGTTTTTCCCAGAGTCGGCAAATCCGGCAATTCCAGAGCCGCCTAGCCCTTAGTTAGACGGACCGCACTTTTGCAGTGATACTGATAGACTCTCTTCTTTTCCTCCCCGCCCAGACTTCATAAGGAGTTGTGTAGGCCGCTACCTGAAGTCGACGGATGTTCCCTTCACACAGCAAGCATGCAAGGACATTCCGAGTATCAAGGTCCCAATCCCGAATGGGAGCAACTCTGTCGTACCACTACCATCCCCGGTTTCAACCATCATTTAACACCTCTACAAATTCGATATGCAGCGAATGCCGGCCGCGTGCAAGCGGCACAATCTCTCCTGGATTCCTCCGGACTCAGGGACAAAGTCATTCATCGAGATTATTCGATTCTTACTCGTGACAGTCAAAACATCATCGGTCGCCTCTACCTCCCTTGCACTCCACCGTCAAATCCAGTCCGGCTTGCCGCCTTCCTGTACTTTCACGGCGGAGGCCATCTCAATGGCAATGTGGATGCGGAGGATGGGATGTGCTACAGCCTTGTGACCAAGACCAATATCGCGGTGCTCCATGCTAACTGCCGCCACACACCTGAATTTACACACCCAACCCAGACCAACGATGCGGTCGATGCATTTGAATGGCTCTTGAAGAATGGAGAATCACTGGGCCTTGACACGTCGAGCATCGTCGTAGGGGGCATCTCAGCCGGTGGTATGCTTACTGCTTGGGTTGTCTATGATCACATTCACAAGATGCAAGCAAATCCGACGGCGTACTCTTTCAGCAGGATCAAGGGTCAGGTTTTGGCGACACCCTGGCTCATACACCCCGCAAATCACCCTGCACCGAAGACAGATCCCAAGTCCTCCTATGTCCAGAATGTCGACGCACCAGTCCTTCCATGGGCTGCCCTCAAACTCTTTACGGAGTGCTTGAAAGCCGAAGATCCAACGGAGCGCAGCCTAAATGTGCCGCTGTCAAGCGACAAAGACCTTCGCGGGATGCCGAAGTCAAGCGTTATTGTCGCGGGGATGGACATCCTCCGAGATGAAGGGTTGTACTTTGCGAAACGATTACAGGATCTTGAGTGAGTTTCCCTTCCGCTTCTTTTCCTTCACCCTGTCCCATCTCGACCACAGGAAATACATTCTCACACGGCAGGAATAGGGTGCCGACGCAGACGCATGTCTTCCCTGGGTTGCCGCATGGATTTCGTCGGTTCTCAACCTTGCCATCGAGTAGGGTCCTGGATGACGTACTAGCAAACTCGATCCTGTGGTGTTTGAATGATGATGACAGGACTTCACACTTGGAGGTCCACCATGGAAAGCCAACGTAACCACGAGTGCGGGAGAATTGAGGTCGGCGGGCACCACCGCATGACAGCCACAAACCGCCGTCATGCTTGAGCATACCAAGGTACCTAGGTATCCTTTTTTGAGGCTCTTGGCGCGACCAAATGTACGGTGTAGCCTAGCCGAACTTGATTAAAAAGTGGGACTTGACGTGCCGTTGGCTACGCTTTTGGCTGTGATACCGGCATACGTTCGGCTAACGTCCGGTAGCCGAGGGGATCAACAGTTCTCCGGTATCGCGTCCCAGTCCTGAGTGTTGGGAACAATTCATCCACTCTAACACCGGCAGGGGTACACCCTCGCCCGGCATTGTCACCGAGTACGCCACACTTTTTTCCAGCATGTGATCAAGGAATGACTGGTTTACTTTCGTCCAAGAATATATGACCCCAATCTTAGCACGTCCAACCTGCAAGGACTTAGGGACTAGCCAGGGAAAATCACCATATCTGAAAAGTGAAAACTCCGACTCGGCCGCTGCTGCCCTCTGCTTTCTTAAAATTCAAGCCGATCCTCGTTGGGCTGTCCATCATGTACCCAGATCTGCAGAACAAAGTCGTCTTGCTGACGGGCGTTGGACAGATGGGTGATCCGTCCATGTGGGGAAATGGAGCGGCCACGGCCAAAGTACTCGCGTGCGAGTCCAAGGCTCGGATTTTCGCTTGCGATTTGCACTTGGACGCCGCCCAGCACACCAAGAAACGTATAGAAGCTGAGGGAGGGGTCTGCGACGTTATGGCAGCTGATGTCACTGATGCCACGCAAGTTAAGGCGTTTGTTGATGCTTGCATGAAGAAATATGGTATCTCCACAAAGCCTCCGAGATGGGGACGTGTGGCAACGACTGATGGCTTTTGATATAGGACGAATCGATGTTTTGATCAACAAGTAAGTCTACTGGTTCGGACTCCCGAGCCACGTTTCGCGATCCCAGCTTACATCCCCTTGAATAGTGTCGGCAGGTCGGTGCCTGGCGGTCCTGCAGAGATCGACGAAGCGGCATGGGACGGTCAAACAGACGTCAATCTCAAGTCAGTCTATCTCACCTGCCACGAGGTGCTTCCCATTATGGAAAAACAGGGCTCCGGTTCGATTATCAACCTATCTTCTGTGGCTGGACTTCGCTACGTGGGCAAACCTCAAGTCGCCTATGCGGCCTCAAAAGCCGCTATAGTGCAATTAACCAAGACTACGGCCGTCCTGTATGCGAAGAAGGGAGTGCGTCTCAATACGGTCGTCCCTGGATTAATGCATACTCCACTTATTGGCTACCTCGCTGACAAGTACAACAATGGCGACTTGCAAGGACTAATAGAGAAGCGAAACAATCAAGTCCCAATGGGTATAATGGGCGATGCATTCGACATCGCCAACACAATTGCTTTTCTTGCTTCGGACAAGTCACGTTATATTACCGGCCAAAAGATTGTAGTGGACGGCGGCCTAACCTCGTCGACGGGCTGATGGAGCGAAGAGGTCATCAACCACTCTTGGCCTGCTGGCACAATGGACGCTCCATCTTGTGACGGTATTGCCGTGGGATGGTCAATTCTCCCTGTTTCAGACCAGAACATACAATTTTGAAATAGATCTAGGGAAACGACTCCAATGAAAACGATAGAGAGCGGCCGCTTCTTTGGATTCTCTTTCTCCTTGTTTGCTCGTTTTGAATTGACGTGCTGCTTTGTAGGGGTGAACTAGGACAAAACCGTAGCCTGAGGCGTGCAGGCGATTCCCAAAACAGCCGATACTGGAGATGTATGACCGTGCGTTGCGAAAAGCTCCCAGAAAAGCCTTGCTCATGAAAGTAGTGACAGTGGGCGCTTACAACATCAAAACGGGAATACTGGAAGAGTGCCAAATGGAGTTGTTTACATTCTGAGCCCTGCGCACCTGCCTGGGCGACTTGACTGATCCTAAGGTCGCTGGCGACCCGGCTCACCAAACCGCAGTCAACTCCTGCGGAGAACTTGCCATCTTGGTGAAAAACGCGGACACTATACAACTGATCACATTTCTTGAGATTGAAGGCATGGTGACATCAAAAAAGATGGAAAAAGGGGTTTAACGAGAGGACATGTCACTAACAGACCGTCACAGCGGGAAGGACTCCGATCAAGGCACCAGACCTGTATTCTCTATCTCGGAAGCAGTATTATCACGTATCTTCTTGAATATCGTTCACATATATCCAAATGGAGGTGCAGTCCTTGTTCTATCCAGAGGAGCAAATGCGATTAGTGACAATTGCATGCGTTACGGTCATGATTTGACTTACCTTAGTTCTGGGGTCGTCCACCGTCGCTTTGAAGGTTTCCAAGGCGGTTTGTAGCATGGTCGGCTTGATACCAACTTGCTGTGATGCTTCCACGCCCAAACTCACATCTTTTACCATCATCGAGGGCAGAAAAGAGACCTTGTAGCCATTGCTGCTCGGGGCGTGCGGGACCAGGCCTGGACAGGGCATCATATTCTCTAGCACCCACGACTGGCCCGTCGAATTCTTTATACAGTCATAGAGCACGTGCTTATCAATACCTGCCCGGATTCCGGTCGCCATCGCTTCAGTTATGGCCATCATCGTGCTGGCGGCGATAGAGTTGTTGGCGATTTTGACGATGGTTCCCGTGCCTATCGGTCCGCAGAAGCTGACTCTCTCGGGCAATCCCATCATGGAGACGACGCTGAGTATACGTTGATTGATAGCATCAGATTTATTGGCGGGATTTCCGACCAGGAAGGAAAGCGTGCCTCTTTCAGCCCCTACTACTCCGCCCCGTTCAAGAGTTCAGCGAACGGACTCGACTCCAAGGGAGACCTGTGCGTGTGTATGTGTTCGTACGAAGGGACTCACTGAGACTGGGGCATCAAAATATCGCCCTATCCCGACGGGGCTCAACTTCCCCTCCACCTCTCGCGTTGTTCTCGTGTCGATGGTGCTGCACTCGAGGAGCAGGCGCTCGGGGTCGGGATCGGCCTCGATCACGCCTCCGGCACCAAGATAGACCTCTTTGACATTGGCGGCGCGCGGCACGATGGAAACGACCACTTTGGAGTTGTCCGCTGCCTCCTTGCAGCTATCTACAACCTCCACTGGACCGTATGTGGTACCCATCTCATCCAGAAATCGGTCGAGCGCATTTTTGTTGACGTCAGTCACGTACAAGGTATCTTTGGGTGACATCTTCCGTCGCAGATGACCTGCCATGGGATAGCCCATGGCGCCGAGGCCTGTGTTCTGTCTGTCAGTTCTTCTTCCACCCATAGTGAGCTCTCCACGCCTACCTATGAAACCAATATTTCCTGTCATTGTGAAAGGGGTGTCCAAGTTGATGTTTCGTGGCTGCTGGCAATTAACAACAGCCCTGAAGTCATGAGCCGCAGCGGCCACCCGCAAAATTATAGGCCCAATATCCAAGTGTGTCGTCAATGGGGATCGCAAGATACCCGGGCTGCCTCTGCGGTGTTGACCTGACCGTGCCGGGTGGGACCGAAAGGATTCGGGTAACATATGATGGGCCGGTCGGCATTTCTTGGGGTATGTGTGCACGGTTGTTTCGACTGACATAATGAAGACCCTATGCTTCACGACCATGTCGCCGCCGGCAGTTCTTGTCATCAGCAATCACGCGAAGCAGAAAGTCCGCTGGTGCAAGTCTCTCGGTTACTTTTGGTAGCCACCCACGGTTGCCACGAGGCACCAGCACCGACCCTACATGTGTCGCTTCCCAAACACAGCTTGTCACGGCCAGTCTTTATCAGAACTGAGATCTGAGTCGGAATGATGCACACCAAGCGGTCATAGCACCTTTGTCTTTGGAACTGCACTGGGATCACCTGTTCTCGCCACTCGAGAATCATGTCTGCCAAGGAGAAATGGGAGCCCGATCTTCCGCCTTCCACAGCGACAGTCGAGGTGTCCGTAATTGACACTACCTGCTATATGGCGAACACTCCGGCCAAGCTGCTGATGAGACCCCCTTATCCGGGATACGACAAGTTCAAGCTGCCGAGTTACAGCTTCCTCGTCCACCACAAGCCCACAAATACACGAATTTTGTTCGACCTGGGACTTCGGAAGAACTGGAGGACGCATCTCAGCCCTCCACTCCTCGAACTGATTCGCAACTTTGACCTGGATCTCCTTTGCGAGAAGGACACAGCGGATATTCTGCAGGAGCATGGGGTTGTTCCCGGAGATATTGCCGCCATCATCTTCAGCCATCATCACTGGGATCACGTCGGCGACACCACCAGGTTCCCGTCCTCAACCTCTATCGTGGTTGGCCACGGTTACAAGACGAAATACTTGCCCGGTTGGCCAGCGGACCCCTCTTCGACCGAAACAATGTCAGATCTTTACGAGGGCCGTGAAACGGTAGAAATCCACTTCGATGGCAGCGAGAACTGCCTCATGATCGGCGAATTCAAGGCTTATGATTACTTCCAAGACGGCAGCTTCTATCTGCTGGATGCGCCGGGGCATACGCAGGGTCACCTCAACGCCCTGGCCCGCACCACCCTCGGAGTCGATACCGGCGGGGAGGATACTTTCGTTCTGCTGGGTGGCGACAGCGTCCACCACGGCGCCCTTTTCCGCCCCAGCAAATACTATCCTCTGCCGGACAACATTTCCCCTGCGCCCTACGAAGACTGCCATTCCGCGGGCAGCTGCTGTCCGGGCGCCATCTACGCGGCCTTGCACCGCGCCACAAAGGAGTCTGTGGACAAGCAAAAAGCCTGGACTACTCCCTTCTGCATCGTACCACGAGACGCCGCAGACGAAGACCACCAAGCAGCGGAGCAGACCGTAGAGAAATTGACCGTATTTGACGGCATACACAACGTATTTACGGTGACAGCACACGATCATACATTGTTGCCCCTGATCGATTTCTTCCCGCTGCCCATCAATCAGTGGAAGGCAAAGGGCTGGAAGGAAAAAGCACACTGGAGATTTTTGGAACCTCTGCAAATCACGTCAACGTAGATAATGAAACACCATTGACTTCTGATTCCTAAATACTTGCGTGCATTCAGGGTGGTTCCTGGGGAGTAGGCTAGCTATACCAATGAAAAGGTCAGTCATGTTGTCCTCAGCCGAGTTTCGGCTTGAATCATACGGCGCGAGATTCCGCCGCGCTGTACTCTCCCCTTATGGCCACGAGATGCCACGAGAGTTGAGATCTGACTGACTCTCAAATTGCCAAGGTAGTCAGAGCAGAACTTCAACCTCAGCCACGTCCCAATGTTTTGAGTCCTCGGGAGACCAGTACAATGGGCCACTCGGGGAGTAGGACTGATCCAGCCATGAGGGGCCAGGAGTCTGTTCCGTCATGTACAGCCCGCGGAAGCATACCTGTCACGCTATCACGTGGAGTTAAGAACATTATTGGATGGACGTATTGATTGATGGCAGCTTAACTCTAGTTAATTTTGCCGGCGAGTCTCCTCTGCATTTGACTCTCGCTTGTGTACATGATCCGTCGTGAGAAGGAGCTCGGTCTTGAGTCCGCAGTCAGTACAGGGAATTGCCGATATCCAGACCGCTTGCCCTTAAAACGTGCTCGCGATCCCAGAAAATCAAGTTGCCGAGGACCCCGGTCGGCCCTTGGGGCCAGCGCCGTGCAATATAAAAGCCACGCCCAGGACCTGTGGACATGTCAAATAGCCATTAGGGTTAGTACGCGGCCTCTCTGATCGCTATATCATTTGGTCAAAGGTGTCTTTAGATCGTACTGGTAGATTACAAGTCTCTTCGCATCTCCATCGTTGCTTGTTTGCCCGTTCCGTGGTTATGGCGGACGAGAAGATTGAAGGGTCCCCGCCAACCATCCAGACGATCGAGGAGCTAAACGACCCGAAGAAGACGGGTGATACATTTGGCACAGAAGTCGAGCCCGGAGAAGCCGAACCCGAAGAAGTCGAACCCGTCGTCACCCCAAGAACATGGGCAGTTGTGTTTGTAAGTGAGAGGTGGCCTATTCACCTATCCAGAATTCCATGAGTGCTTGGGCTGATGGAACGTCCCAGATCATGGCGATGGGCTACGGGCTGTGCTTCTGGCCAGTCCCGGTGTTCGCGGCGATTGGATCTCAAGTTGCGGCCGCAAAAGGTGATCCAGACAAGGCATCGTGGTTCGTGCCCGCGTGGACACTATCGATCACCGTCTGCTTCATGATCTGGTAAGGCAGGCCCCAGCTCTGGAAGAGTCCCAGCACGATCATTGCACACTCACAAACTCTTCAAGTGGAGCCAACACTGACTTACTCGGCCGTCGCTGGTTCTTGGTGGGAGGGAATGTGATTTGTGTGATTGGCCATCTCGTGATTGGCACCGCAAAGACTGCAAACACCATCATTGTCGGAATGTGTAAGTTGACAGCTTGACTCTATCCCCGAGAGATCGACATCAGGCATTGGCGCTGACGACGACGACGACGAGGCTGGCCGGTACAGCTCTTGCAGGGTTTGGCGGTGGTAACTGTCAAATGGCTGCCTTCGCCGTGACCGAGCTCCTCCCAAATCGGTGGCGACATATAGGAGTCGTGCTCGCCGACATAGCCTCTCTGGGAGCGGTCACGTTCGCCCCGGTGGCGGGCCGATTCGGGTGGGAGGAGGGAACGTGGAGATGGAATTTTTACGTGGCAGCCATTCTGCAAGGTCTTTCTTTTGTTGGCTTATATCTACTGTATTTTCCGCCCGCTCACCCCTACAACATGCAGCCCAAGCAGTTGATCAAGGAGCTCGACTACCTTGGTATGTATATACGTCACCTCTCGTGTCTACCCGTTGTTGAGGTCTCAGACTAACATGGCGTTCTTACATAGGGATGTTTCTCTTCACCGCCGGTGCTGTTCCTCTGCTGATGGGGATCATCTGGAGCGGGACATACAGCTCGCACGATCTCCATGTCGTGGTTCCTCTTGTCGTCGGGGCCGTGGTCTTGGTGGTCTTCGCTCTGTGGGAGACCTATGGCAACATCAAGCATCCCCTCACACCGACCTATATGTTTACGTCGTCGCACGGCCGAGATCTCACAGCGCCTTGTGTCGCTCTAGCGATCGTCAACATGTCCTACTACTCTAGTAGCATTCTCTGGCCTACCATGATTGTCCAATTTTACACAAATGGTGGTGCTGCGTGGAAGCATGGGATCGCTCTGTCCATTGTCCAGGGGCTGGCCATCAGTGCGGGTGCCCTCGGTCTCAGCTTACTTGGGAACAAAATCCGCCGTTGGCAGTGGCAGTTGACGGGTTCCATGTTTGTCATGGTTGTCTTTGGGGCATTGTTGGCCTTAGGGAAGCCGTCCAACCAGGGATTGATGGTGGCGTTTGTTTTCCTTTCCCAAGCTGGGTATGGTTGGGCGCTCTACCTATCCATCGCCATCTCACAGATGGGCGTTGCCCACAAAGACCTGGGCCATTCTGGTGGAATATCCGGCGTGATTCGGTTTGCTGCGGGAACAAGTGAGCCTCCCTCCCTCTCCCCGTTACCAGTGATCCCTCTTCCATCGAAGCGGATACCATCGGGACCTGAAGAGCTAATCCCTTGTGCACAAACAGTCAGTGCAGCCGTATACACCACGGTGTTGAGCAACAAGGTCTCAACCTATACTGCACGATACGTGCCTCGAGCCGTGACCGCAGCGGGGCTCCCTACCTCACAGATATCCGCTCTTCTCAACGCCATTAATACTCCTTCTCTCGCGCAGCGCTTTTCTCCTGCAGTTGTCGCTGCTGCTCAACAAGCGGTGGCACGGGCCTACGAGAAGGGTATCCAATATGTGGCATACGCCAGCATCGGCTTTGGCGTCGTCGGGCTCGTCGCCTGTGCGCTGTGCAAGGATGTTGACGATAAGATGACAAACAAAGTACGACCCGACCCTTTACCTCGGAGCAACGACGCTCTCGTACTGAAGAGGCCTTTCCTTACTGACTACGAGTACTAGATCGAAGTTTATATGGAAAACACCAAATACGCAGACAGAAACCGGCACGAGCCCACAGAAAAGGAGTGAAGCGGCCACACCGCAGTGAAGAGTTCTTTGGAGCTTTCAAGTGTTTTTGGTTCGAGTTGATTGGCTTGGCTTGGGAACTCGGCACCCTATGAGTTACGAACTCATTGAGATTGAACAACAATAAAAGTTCTCAGCGTTGCCTTGCCTGGCATTGACTAGAGGCTATACACGGATACGTGGTAGAAATTCTAGCCCCTGCCGAGTCCATGACCACGATGGCCGGCATCCAGTCGTCGGCAAGTGGATGAATCAGGGCAGTGAGCAATGGGGCTGTTCGGCCAATGAAATCTCCATCTATCTGAGGAAGTTGCCTGATATCGAAGCTCTCTGCTACCTGGACTCTGTGCAACTTGTTGGGATCACAGTGTACCTCCTCTCTCGGGGAGGAAAGAAATAAACTCGAGAAAGGCGTCCTGGCACTCGATGGCCTTGTCAACGTAAATCTCATGACCCCGACCGTGGATCGGCACCATTCGGGCGCCCGGAACAGCGTCGCGAAATGCCTCTTGGTCCTGGATGCTGGTGTTCGCACTGTTCGTCGGCGCCAGTATCAGCGTCGGGCACTTGACGTCCTTCATGATTGGCCGCACGTCCAGTGTATCGAGAAATTCGGCGTACCGAGCCAGACCCTCGCCAGTGGACAGAGCTATCTCGCCGAGCCACCATGCGTAATACTGAGGATCTCCCGGCTGGCCAATCCCGCCGGCAACGCGGGCTTGCGTCTCGGCAAAGCCTTGAGCCCCCAAGGCCCGACATGCTGCTGGCCAGTCTGCGTATTTGCCGGCCCATTTCTTCTTCGCAGCTTCGGGTAGATGGGTCGGTGTAGCGCACACGGTCAATGAGTGTAGCCGGTCTGGGTATCGAGCCGCCAGTGCCACCCCAATGAGGCCTGCGGTAGATTCACACAGCAGGTGGACCTTTTTCGAGCCTAGGTGGTCGAAGAGCTCGACAATCTCTTCAAGCACAGTGTCGAGGGCATAGTCGTAGTCAGGGGTCGGATCGCTGGAGAGGCCATGACCGCGGAGGTCGCGGCGCACCACACGGTACTTGTCCGCCAGGCGGGGGATCCAGTGGTACCAAAAGCTTGAGTGTCGCCCGAAGCCGTGCTGGATGACTATCGTCTGCACCATATCCTTCTTCCACGGGTCCGTAAAGTCGTCGACGATGAAATGTGTTTTCTGGCCACTGGCGTGACTAAGGAATTGGCTGTGCGGCGTAGGGCTTACAGTCTTGACCGCCATGACGAGCTGAGAGTTTTGCTGAGAGGAGTCAATTCCCCATAGCTGTCCAGGACTGCAATGAAATACATACTGCAGACTGTGTTTTGCCGGAGTCTTTGCCGCGAAACCACCAGCTGAGAGCGGATATCCGAGGTCTTCGTACCGCTCGAGTGTTTCCCAGTATCCAGATGACGGCAGTCAAGCTCTATAGAATCTAAACTATTATATCCACTACAGCTGTGCCGCTGGCGTCTAATCTGGCCTCGCTAGGCTTTCGCGCCTCTTGAAGCTAGGCCAGAAGGCCAGCGATAATGGTGTATGCTGGCATATTATGCTGGACTTGAGTTACATTCTGCAATAACCTTTACGCTGCCACCACTACAGATAAAAATACGAGTCCAAAATAGAGGAAAGGCTGTAGTATTTCCTAGCATAGGCTAAATCACGAGACTTAAAAGCGCAGGCGGAAAAAGAAAGGCGGGTGAGCATCGCCGTTGATGTGCGTATGCTCGAAAGTTGTAGGGATAAGTCCTTCCCATATGACCCGCTTGATCTCATACATGGTGAACTAGTTGGAATGTCCACGTCTTGGTTGCCGGCTGAGGATTTTGGGATCCTTGGGATCCATGTCGAATGTAGTCTTGTACAGCGGCAAATCCGGGGCCTTCTATGGTATCGAACTCGTATGTACTCAGCGCCGAAGCGGGCGAGTCATTGCCTTTGTCCAGGGACAAGAAGCGATGGAGTAGGGTCCTTCTGAATCCAGAATCTGAAGCCACACGCGGCACGAGCTCTTCGCGATAGTACCTGCATTATGATTCAGCCACTGGTCGGACGACCCTAGGTAAGCCAGAAGTGGTGATTGGACTGTCACGCTTACCTGCGGAGTTCTGTCATATTAATTGGGTCTAATTCTTGTAAGAAGAGGAAGGCCGCCGGCTCAACTTTACCCAACGTGAATTAGTCCTGAAGATCGAAGAAAGGAGAAACACTCTCCAAGACACAGCCGTGCAGAAGGATGCAGGAATGGAGATATTCAACTCACCCTGCTGCCCGAGGGATTTCGGGTCAAAGGTCTCAACTAATTCATAGTTTCGAACGGACAGATGGGCCAGATCCTTGGGTAAAAATTGTTCTCCGAGAATATGACTTGTCTTCCGCACACCCTTGTACCTCTCGCTCTTCAAGGGATGGCTTTCCATAGTATCGTACATGGCGAGAAACGTTTTTTCATCTGATGGCGGGAGGCCATTAGGCACCGAGATCAAGCGGTATAGGTAGCCGGTGCCATTATGACCGATTCCAGTGGCGACGTCTGCAAGGTGATGACTCTGGTAGAACTCCTGCCATTTTTCATCGGAAACTCCGTATGGGCACGAAAGAGAGACCAACCGATATGTCGTTGCCATGGCGAGGTGCTGAGCTTCGTGGAAAATGGGGAAGAGATCATAGGAGAGCATAGAAAAATGTACCTTGGGTTGGCCAAGGAGTTGATTCGGGTGTCCCGGCATTGTCACCTTTGATTGTAAAGTCTTTGCGGCAACGTCAGCTGCTTTGCACCTGGTCTCGCCCACGCATCTTTATTGCAGAGCCGTCCTTTGCCGGTCAGCCGAGATTTTGGCATGTTTTTGAGGTGATTCGCATAATTCCAGAGCTGTTGGACATTCGTAAGGTCACCGTCACCGTCGCGGTGCTCGTAATATTCACAGTGTTTCACTATTTCCCAACCCCAACTTACGTTGGACGCTTTTCTTGGATGCGACCATGGCCACATCTTCGGACCACCGGGCAATGAAAGATCAACTTATAGAGCTCGGAGAAGTATGGTCGCCCGCCTGGCAAGATGTTCTGGAATTCTGCCCCGAATATTTGGCTGCGTACTTGAAGATGCGTTCTGTTCCTGTCAATAACCGGCACCTTTCGCGCAAGCTCCAGGAGTTACTCCTACTTGCGTGCGATGCGTCGTGCACACACCTCTTTGGGCCGGGGATACGTCTTCACACAGAGAATGCGCTGAAGGCTGGGGCTACTAAAGGGGAAGTTTTGGAAGTTCTGATGAGGACGAGTGTTTTGGGAATCCATGCCGTTAGTATCGGTCTACCGGTGTTGTTTGAAGTGCTGGTGGAAGAGGGAAAGGTGACAGAGGAGGAGCTAGCTAAGCCCAACGACGAATATAAGGAGCAGCTCAAAGCCAAGTTCACCGAAAAAAGGGGCTTCTGGTCACCCCATTACCAGAAACTAATAACGATCGGTAAGTACCCAGCAAAAGTAAACGTGCGTTTGCTGATGATGGCTCTAAAAGCCCCGGACTTTTTCGAGGCGTATACTTCATTCTCGGCCGCACCCACAGAGGTCGGGGGCCATCTTAGTCCTCGGGATCGAGAACTAGTCTACACAGCGATTGACTGTGCAACAACACACCTCTACGGATACGGCTTGAAAACGCATGTCAGGAATGCAGTTCGATTGGGCGCAACACCGGAACTGATTGTGGAAGTATACGAGCTTGCAGGTTTGATGGGTTTCCAAACGATGTTATTGGGAGTGCCTGTGTTAAAGGAGGCTCTGACAAAGTTCGACTCGGACAAGAATGGTTTGGCCTAGCGCGTCAAGGGCAGTTGGATTCCGGTACCGGGTCACCCAGTATGAGGTCAGTTAGAGGGGGACCGCGGCCAGCTGGAAATTGACGCCTCATCTCGAGAAGAATGCACATGAATAGTAAGAAAGAAAACGAAGAAAGACCAGGTTGATCTCATGAACCAGAATTTCGAAAACCGGAATAGCTAAATAGGCTCCCGATGTTCATTCTCTTGCGGTTATTCGCTAGGTGGTGGTCAAGAATTCTGGAACCTTGTTGTTGGCTTCTCCTATGTCCAAGGCGACTAGAAACCGGCTGACCATGTTGTAGGCAGCACAGGTCAGGGTGATGTCGACAATTTCCTGCTCCGTAAATCCCACCGCTTTGAGATTCCCAAAGTCGTCATCTGAGACTGTGACGCTTTTCGTCATGGCATCGCAGTAGCGGAGGACAGCCCATTGCTTGTCTGTGAGCGCCCCCTGTGACTGGGGCTCGAGCTGCTTGACCACCTTGAATTGCTCCTCTGTGAACCCAGGGGCCGCCGCCAAGAGGGGCGCATGGTGAGCCCATTCAAACCAGGCACGGTTGAGGATGGCAGGACGACAAATGGCGATTTCGCGAAGATCATCCGGAAGACAACTTTTGGTCCGGACGGCGCCCAACAACGAGTTCCAGCCTGTGAACTGAGTTAGGTACCGGTGAGAGCCGACAAGGGGGGTTTGGGGTGAAGGCGCTGCAACAGACCATCAGCCAGAGACGGAGAATGGAGAAGACCTAGGTCGAGGGGCAAAAGCCCGCCCGGCCCTCTGCGAGCTCGGATCTTGTCGTACACCTGCTCAACTTCGGCACTAGCGCCCGCGGGCACGGCGGGGGCGTAGTTCAATCTCATGATTGGCGGGCAGGGAGGCCTTTTGGCAGCAACGACACGCACACGCGGAAGTTGGACTTCAACTAAATCGTCAGGAGGGGAAAACAGAAAGGATGCGCTTGCTCGATCCGCCTAGGAAAAGAGAGGCTGGAGCGGAGACCACGCTTAAAGACTTGTTGAGGGTCGCCGTAACCGGCTTCCTCCCCAGCCCCGCAAAGCCCAACCACGCCGATGAACGGAATACACGGCACAGAGTCTTGGGGATAATTCAGGCGTGAACTATGGCGCGGTCAGCCGTGGCAGGATGTCTTGCCTCGGCTTCACGCTTGGTTTTTTTGACACCAGGATCTCTTTTGTATATCCCCATCTCGATGCAATGATACCAAGACAACCTAGCAACCACGCCGACCAGTCTGGACATTTTCCAACCCTATTTTGACGTGATGCGCTCGGAAGCGAAGAATGACAACGCGAAAAGAGGGCGAACCATTCCATTCCGCAACAATCCTGACGCGAAAACCACGACCTTGGTCAGTAATCCAGAGAGTTGTTCATTCCATCATTTAGAGAAACCTCGCAAATGGAGACGGCCTGCTGTACCTCGGCAGCCAAGCATTAATCCAGCTTGAACAAATCTTAGTGCTTGTAATAGACCTACTAGAAACGGCGCAACTCACTTGAACATTTTGCGCCTCCTTCCGTCGAGTGTGAATCTGGATTTAGGTTATTCTCTCGTCGAGGAGCGTCTAGTGTAAGCCTGACCTGTATCGTAGATAATAGGCAAGTGAGACAGGCAACCGAGCAGGACGCTTCTTCGCTCCCATACGATCGTTATATATTTTGTATGATGTTGGATGTACTCCTTATTCTGTGTCTTTCTACTTTGTCAAGCTCAGCCCACTTAGAAGATCGCCAGGGCGTTTGGTGGTGAGCCGACAGCACCAGGTACATTTAAAGTAATGGAAGTGAAAAAGAAGCTGTAGCGCCCAGTCTCTGCACAATGCTTCGACAAGGCTTTCAAGTCCCACAATTCTCCGATAGGCATGCCGAATAGGCTCAGGAGATAGGGATGAAGCACTAACAGACCCAAGCTCGTTTAGCAAAGGGGTTGCGGCTGGTGAGAGGCCAGGTGGGAAATGTTACCTACCTGGGGGGTCGCCTTTCCCGTATTCCACCTCGAATCCAATGTTATCGCTGGCCACGGCAGCGAACCCCTTGTTCCAAAACCACTTGGCTGCCTCAATGGTTTGTTCAACCCCGGCCCAGGTGAATCGAGCCATCAATTCTTTCTGCTTCTCTGGGGTGGACACTTCAAGCACTTCGGTATACCCGGTACGAATGATGAAAACGTCGCCAGGTTGGAGAGTGACTCCCTGGGCTGCTGCTATCTCTTCTATTCGGGAAACCGTGATCTCGTGGGCACCGAAAGGGTCGGACTCGATGCCATTGGCTTCTGCATACCGTTTGAAGTCGATGAGAACGCCACGGCCAACGAGGCCGCCTCGGTCATGCCAATCTACAGATACATCAATTCATTTCCTTGGCAGATAAATTGCCTCACTGCAACCTACGGTTCAGCGTCGGCAGCTTCTTTTCATTGTCCTCATCCCCCCAGCCTTGGATGAGGTCTTGGCTGGTGGGTTGGCATCCGTTGTATCCAGACGCGGATTCTTGGTGATAGAAGTGGCCTAATAGGACAGTCAGCCTTTCACTCCAGGCGCAAAACCCGCGGCAAACCTGACAGAGACTATCCCATTGGCTGCTGCATTGCGTGTTGAATGCGATATGCTCGTGTGTTAGTATTGGACGGCTCGGAGAACGACTCCCGTGTGGGTCATGAGCGACATACCTCGTCGTCATACCCATGAAATCGCATAGGCGTGTCCATAAATGATATGATGCGGTGCTCAAGTGGCTTGCGATTAGCGGCGGGAGTCTTCACCGCCCCCAGACGCCAGCTGGAAGCGACTCCAGTTTAGTGAATCCGCATCCATCTGCAACGACGAGGAAGTCGACGAGACGGACAACTGACTTGAGAGAGATGCTAATGCCCTGTTTGATCTCGGTGGCGGCTGCGAGAACCGTCGCACGGTCTGTTCTGTTCAAAGTTCCAAACACGTCCTTCTGTCCGTCCTTGTCAAACACTCCCCATGCACATCCAGGTGGCATTCCCGCCACTGGAGGGAGGCTGTCAAAGTCAGGGACTGACGACGAGGCCATTGATTCAGTCTCGTCGTGGGTACAGATAGAAAACTCAGAAACGATCGAGTTTACGGCCGACACTCAATGTCCAACATCTAATGTCTAATATCCACTGTCCAACATGCAGCAAACGTTCCTTTCTTGGAGCTTGTAGGCCTTGCAATGCGAGAAGCTCGATGATTCCCTGGCGGCTATGGACTCAGAGATCGGCTAGAGCATCGACTTGACTTCGCTAATGGTGATGGGTTTTGGCACGCCGAGCGACAGCCGCTCCAGATCGGCTTCGAACATGAATCTGAGTCGCCGAAAATATAGAGTTCCGGACTCGGCTATGGAACTGGCGGCTGGCTACTGTCGGTGAACTTTTTGGAGTGTGGCAACTTGTATCCTTGCCGCGCGCACAAAATGGCTGCCGGCGTAGTTCCGAGCACTGCACACAAACCCCCGACTTCGACTCCCAGAGACGAACAGTGACGGTAGGCAGTACCTAGAGCCAGTATGGAACCCCGTTATCAGGCAGTGCCATCAGGTGATACATCCTCGGCTTCTCTGTCCCGGCTTTGACTGGGAGTCGTCTGATGAACAACATACTCTGAAGGCCGTAACTAACCTACCGCGGATCTAATGAATCTGCGCAGCCATAGTCTCCCTATACGCGACTGATGGTCCTTCAAGCCGTTACATTATAGATAGCAACAAGTCTATTCATTTCAACTTGAATGCAGACATAGACCAAAATATGCCTCCCACCGCTGTCGACATTGCCTTTGTGTCCGATGGCACTTTGGCCCTGGGGCACGAGTCCCTCACCAATGGCACTGCAAAATTCGCGCCAGCTCCATCAACAACTGAGGTCACCGCCAACGGTGTTGACCATGTGGCGTCCGACAGGACTAAGATTGACATTCCGCTGAACAACCAGCCCAGCTACCAACCGCGTAAACTGCGTGTGGCCACCATTGGCGCTGGCTTTTCGGGATTAACACTCGCCCACAAGCTTCGATACCAGCACCCTGAAATGCATGACATCGTGGAAAATGTTATCTTCGAAGCACGGGGTGATGTTGGAGGTACATGGCTGGTGAACACATACCCCGGGGTGCAGTGTGATGTTGCTGCCCACCTTTACGTGAGTGCTGCTCTTGAGATGGTCCCCCAATATATAGCGCTTGTTAAATGTATATGTACAGGCCTTTCCCTTCGACCCAAACACGGAATGGAGCAAGTTCTACGCCAGTGGCGAGGAGATCTTTGAATACATCACACGAACGGTGAAAAAATGGAACCTTGACCGAGACGTTCAACTGAACACCAAGGTTGTCGGAGCTTACTGGCTGGATGACTCGGGCAAGTGGAAGTTGTTAGTCGAACACAATGGCATTCAACGAGAGGAATTCGCCGACATTTTGGTGTCCGGCCAAGGCTTTCTCAAGTACGCATTTACCTACTTGATTTTATATCTTCTGCGGATCAATTAACCGTTGTCAGTCTCTGGAAGTGGCCCGAGATCGAGGGTCTCCAGTCTTTCAAAGGAAAACTAGTCCATTCAGCCGACTGGGATCATGACTATGACTATTCCAACAAACGAATTGCGGTCATTGGCAATGGGTCATCTGGCATCCAGATTCTCCCAGCTCTGGCAAAGAAAGAGGGCACCGACGTGACGAGCTTCCAGCGTGGGCCTACTTGGGTTATCTCACGCATGTCCCCTTCGCTGCTCCTGGGTCGCAATGTGGCGGAATCGAATCCAGTGTACACCGAAGAGCAGAAGCGCCGTTTCCGCATCGATCCACAGTACCACAACAAATACCGAAAGGAGCTAATCCATCGGATCAACAAAGCCTTCAGATTGGTACGGACATGCCTTTTGATCTCTCCCCTTGCCTTCCCTCCTCTCTTCTTCCGCAAATATCCAGCAGTGGCTGACATATGATGATGGAAACAGTTTGTCAGGGACTCGCCCGAGAACCTCGACGCCACCAAATTTGCCATCAAGCAGATGTCAGACAAGCTCAACAATGATCCAGAACTGTGTGAAAAGCTCATTCCCAAGTGGGAACTGGGCTGTCGACGTGTGACGCCCGGAGAGGGATACCTCGAGTCCTTCTTGTTACCCAACGTCCATCTCACGCAGAGCCCAATCACTAAAATTACGGAGAACGCAGTGCACACTGCTGACGGAAAAGTGTTGGAGGTCGACGTTGGTACGTTCTCCACCCTACGCTCTTACTTCCCATACTAATCGGAACTTTGAAACAGTCGTATGCGCTACTGGGTTTGACGTCTCTCATTGCCCACATTATCCCGTCATCGGCCGCAATGGTGTCAGTCTGGCCGAAAAATGGGCTGATGAACCCGAATCGTACCTCTCTATGGCCTGTCCTGACTTTCCAAACTATTTTATCTTCACTGGTTAGTGTACCATTTTACTCCTCGCCCTCCGGATCGACTTCTTGCTCACCTTCGATCACTCTCCTAGGTCCCAACGCTGTGGTCGGCCATGGTTCCCTCATCGAGGGTCTTGGCTGGGTCTCGGAATGGATGATCAAGTGGATGAAGAAAATCGCCAGTGAAGATATCAAGTACGTGGTGCCAAAGCAGGAAGTGGTGGATGAGTTCGTCACGTATGGTGACAGAATCCACAAGACCTTGACTTGGACGGGAGCATGCCGAAGTTGGTACAAGAAGAACCGAGTCGATGGCCGAGTGACCGCCACCTTCCCTGGGAGTGCGCTTCTCTTCAAGCGACTGATCAGCGAGCTTCGCGCCGAGGACTTTGAGATCAAATACCGGAGCGCAAATCGCTTTAAATTCACCGGAAACGGATTCACCGAGTACGAATTGGACGATAACAACGACTTGGCATGGTATGTTGAGAAGTAGAGAACCCATATTAGATGGTGCAGAGAAGAGTTTGTGCACTAGAGGACGTACAGCGTAGGGGGCTTGAGAACATGAAAAGAATCCGGCTTAGATTGAAATTTTTGGGCTTCTTGCTCTGAATGTCTATTCTCTGATTTCAAATGTGACATGGCCCTAAGTCATAGAAAAGGTGTTAGAACGTTTGATCCTGTTGCTGGCAGCGCACAAGAGCCTTCATTGCGGCTGTAAGTCGCGCTTCCTGCCCAGTAGAAGCGACAATAGTGGTACACTCCTGACCCAAGCAAACCTATAGAGATCAAACAGAGTCTTTAGATGAAGGATGGCCGCGAGTTAACCAAGGCGAAACTAATGCTCGTATTGCTTGATGGTTTGCTCTTAGGTACAAAGTAGACGGGGTAAAAGAGTGTTGCCATTGGTAGCCGCTATTACCCACCACACAGTACTACGAATGGGAAAATCCCTTGGTAAGTTTAAGCCAGCAGAGTTCAGTCTCGTCGTTGGTCATCAAGACGAGCATATCGCCAAAGATTGAGCTTCGTCAGCAGTCGTTTGGACCACAACAAGCAGGTTGAATATGCGCAACCCCGCGTCCTCATCTCCCCCTTGATCCTGTTGTCACATTAGTCGACGTTCAACTTTCGATCCGCTCCCAGTGCCTTTTGACAAGGAGGTTTCAGGAGATTCAAAGCCTTAAGCCACCTGTTCCATGTGTACCGTTGAGGTGGCTTTCAGCTCGGTCAAGCCTCCCGTAGCCAGAATTGGATCCTCTCTCAGGAGCTCTCTGTCCAACTCGGCTCGCTGCTCAGGAGTCATGTGGCTAATATCCAAGCCGACTTCTTCGCCAAACAATTGACCGATTTCCTCCAACGATAGACCTTTAGTCTCCGGACAGTAGAACATCAGGAATGGAAGGCCGGAGAATGTGACCGCAATAAAAACCAAGTAGTACTTCCAGCCGATCGTAGCAAAAGCGGTTCCGGCCACCTCGTTGTAGACTAGAGCTGACCCAAGGAAGCTTGCAAGGCCCATGGCGACTCCCGGGGCGCGAATGTGCGTCGGGAACAGCTCTGACATGTACACGTAGATGGTTGGATCAATGCCGAACCCATACCACGTCACATAGAAAAATAAGAAGAACACGCCAAAGCCATTACCAACTTTGTTCGTGGTACCGCCGTATTTGGCAATCATCACCATGAGCAGGACGATATTGATAATGGACCCGATCTGAGAGGTTCATCACTACGTCAGAGAGGACAAAGACAGTTGAAGTGCACTTACTGTTCCCCAGATCATCATCTTCACACGCCCGAATCGATCAATAAACCAGGTGGATGCATAGTTCACCACACCGGCCCAAGAGCAATAGACACCATAGAGCAACAGCGGAACGGACCCGTCTAGGCCAAGGTTGCTGTAGAGAAGAACCTAGATGACAGAATGTGTGTGAGTTATGCCAAAATAAGACGGACACCATCGACCGATTCGCGGCAGGACGAGGGAATCTACCTGATAGTTGTTGACAACCAACACACCTGTGCTTTGAAAGAGGAACCTGTTGACAGGATCCTTGTCAGCGACATATCCCCAAACATAGCCCTGAATCCTTGAGGATTCAGAGAACACTTACTCAAGAAACATGGCGGTAAATAGACGTCTTCGGTATGACGGAGTCTTCAAAATGGCCCACAGGGAGCTGGGCTTTGAGCTATCCAGATCAATCTGCTTTTTGATTTGGAAGTATTCTTCTCTAGCCAGAACATCATTCTGGTCATCAGGTGTGTGGTGCAGCTTCTGTAAGATCTCAAAAGACTTTGCGTGATTGCCACGCATCAGTAGCCATCGTGGGGACTCGGGCAGCCAAGGTGAAACGACCAGGATGAAGGTTGGCGAAATAACTAAATATGTCCTTTCAGCAGATGGCCGTCGGCAGCGATCACACTTTTTTACCTTGAAGGCAGACCAACAAACGCCATGATATCTTTTCATCTCCGAAATAGCATCCGTAGCCAGCCCACCCGGCGGTGGACTATGCTCTCGTTAGAAGCCACGCAGATTTTGGAGAGAATTCAGTTCAGCCTTACATAGCCTGTAACTTGTGCCACTGCCGCGAGGCCAACTATACGTCCTCTCATATGAGGCGGCGATATCTCGGACAGGTAGGTCGGAATCAGCGATACCATGGCGCCCGACCTTGATGCACATAGTCAGCCTCTGGCCTAGAGGAGCTGTCGTGGCTGGAACCCTGGGGGGCTTACCCGTAGCCGCTGGCGAATCGGCCGACAATGAACATTGCAATGTGAACGGAAGCCCCTTGAATGATACCAGAAACCAGAAGTATGGCCGCGAGGATCTGCAGGTTCCGGACACGGCCAAAGAAGTCTCCCTTCCATGCGATGGTGAAACAGCCAAGCATCCCACCAGCGAAGAATAGGCCGTTGGCAGCTAAGAGATTTTCATCAGCCCAGCTTCCTCAACTGGAAATCATTTTTATTTTTGTCCCAGACCTCCTATGATACTGGCAGTTCGTTGATTTCCAGCGTCAGCCGAAAGACCAAAGTAGTTGAAAAAGGCCGGCATCCCTGGGTTGAATATGTCAGCCATGGTCACAGAGATTCCCCGACCAAAGAAGGAGGCTCCTCACCGTAGACCGGCGCAATGACCGAATTGTTGAAGCCATAGGTGAAAGAGCCAACCGTCGCTGCTATGGCGATCAAGAAGTTGTATCCACTTGCTCCAGTCATGACTGCTGAGGCTCTTTTCTTCCCGAGGCAGCTCAATGCTGTAGTATCAGAGGTGTTGGTATATGAAAATGGAATTTGATGGGGACCAAGATGACCTTTCTCGAGTTGGGTCGAGGTTTGCTACACTTTAGGCCTGGAGATGTTCTCTGGGTCATATAGGCAGGCAGGATAAGCACCTTCATATTCAACCGAAAGACAGACCTGTGTCGAAAACCTGGGGACAATGCAAGGTTTCTCGGCTGTCTGCTACCCGTCTCCAGTGCTCGCCGAGTGATGATGATCCAATTCCGGGGTTATGTAGGTTCACTGGGGTTTAATTCCCCAGTGGAGGTTTGAGAGGGTCAACGGTTGGAAAAGGTTGGGGTTCGAGCAAGGACCCGGGGCTGGCCGGCCAGCAGTGACAAGTAGCCGAATCGATTCCGACCAGCTCTCTTCGCAGCCGGATGCCGTCGGCTGTCAGAGCCTTCTGTCAAATCGACTAGTTGACGGGCGCCAGATTTCAGCCATTTCGGGACACGACTGGGTCACTGGGACCAGTCCAGACGATTTCGTATACCCGGATGATGCTCTGTCGTCGAGAGTTTCTGGTATCTATCAGTCACTCGCCTCGCTCAACAAGACCACAGACACATTCAGAATTGTCCTTCCACGTGACACAATTTGTGAGAATGCCATCCTTTACCTATCAGAACACTGGTCCCGTGGACTGCCCGACAGAGGTGGACTACACAAAGGTGAAAGGAAAGACGGTAATCATCACGGGAGGTGAGGAAAATAGCAACGTGTCTTTGTGCTTCCGATGCTGATGTGGCCGCCACTGTGATCAGGTAGCAATGGACTGGGAGAAGCCTATGTGAAGGCACTTGCATCCAACGGGTTGGTCTCATGCTCTCTTGCTCGTGCGGGAGGACTTATCTTTCGCCAGAGCATTTGTCGTCAATGGTGATTTGTTTCCACCTGCGAAGCCTTATAACGAATCCAAGTAAGTACCAGATATGGTTCAAGAGCACCAAATGTCCTTGGAGGAGGGGTTGGGGTTGGTGGTTATGAGAGTAACCTGGCATTTAACTCTCGTCTACAGTGTTGTCTTTTGCAAATGCGATGTCACGGTATGGGAAGATCAAGTTGCCTTGTTTGAGACGGCCAAGGCCAAATCACCTAGCGGAGGGATTGATACCGTCATTGCCAATGCGGGTATCTTTAAAGAAGACCTATTTTTCGTGGGTACGTTTATTTTCTGCACATCGAGATAAGCATTCAGACAGCTAACGAGTATTTACGACTTACGAAATAGGACTGGACTCAGATGTTCCTACCAAGCCCAACTTCAAGATGATGGATGTCAATGTCTATGGAGTCTTCAGTACGGCTAAACTAGCAGCGCACTACTTCAGTCAGCAAGATGAAGGCAAGTATGACCGATGCTTAATTTTAGTCGGAAGTGTCATGAGCTACCTCGATACGTATGGCGCCGTGGGCTACGGCCTTTCTAAGCATGCCGTGCGAGGTTTGATGGGTGTTCTACGAAGGCGTGGAATAATGCGCGTGAATCTACTCGCACCCTGGTAAGCTCGACTCGTGTACTGGGGAGCCATAAACTTCTTCTGCCTTTTCTCTACGAGACTCTCTAATCAGCATGATACTTGATAGGTACACGCCGTCGACTGTCAACACACCCGAATTCCAAAAGTACCTTGAGGACCTTTTCGCGTCTCAGGGTCTCGGCTTCGCCCGGGTCGATGACGCCGTCAAGGTCATCATGAGAATTGCAACCGACGCGGCCCTCAACGGTAAGACCACTGGATTGAGGATGCCTGGAGAAATGGCGGCCGCTAACCTTCCTATCTCCTAGGTCGCGCGCTTTGTAACGTGCCCACGGTAGTGGCGGAGTCTGGGTATGTAGATTTGGGCATGGACGACTTTGTCGAGGGCTCTCTTCTCGATCGTTTTCAAAAAAGTGTTGCGGAGATCAAGTATAGTCACATGGCTGCCGCACCTACCAAGAAATAGAAGGTGCAAATGGAATATTAGGGCGATGCCGAGCAGCACTTACATCTCTTTGATACCGATGCCTCAACACGCAAATTATTAAATAAAGCCAATGGACCCACCAAAACACATCTTGACATTCTCTCAATGTCTATCAGACGTGTCAGACTTACCGGATGAAGAACTTCACGGGGCAGAGAAACAAAATGGGAACATAAAAGCCCCCCTCCTTTTTTTTTAAACAATGTTAAGTGTATGGATTGTATGGACTTTATCTTATATGGGGAAGGGTGATTGAAACGCCTCTCCTTTAAGACGGACTTGTATTTAGACTGAGGCTCAAAGTAGCATGGGTTGAGTGTCTC